ACTGCAGGGGAGCCGGGGGTCGCAGGGGTTAGTTAATCAGGGTTAATCATTTTTTTAGTATGTCCAGATACCGGTAATCAAATACGAGACAAGACACAACCTGAAGCCTAAATGCCAGTGAACATTAATATCACCGTAACTCCCATCCACTTTCATCGCCTCCGTGCACGGATATTTAAGGTGGGGAATAGGAGAATGTTTATCGTATTTGACGACTGTAAATCTGGCTCTGATTTCCTGCCTGAAGTCCTCTCGGTCTTTGTCATTTCTCACCTGTGTCTGTCCCTTCTGTTCCGCAGCAGTGGTTACCACAGTCCCAGAAGTCCATGGTGGAGCACCCGCAGGCCGGAAGCAGGGGTGCTGGCCCTTCCTCATGGGCCCCTTCTAACCTGGGCAGCCTGTGTCCATCTGGTGCCCAGGCTCTCCTGACACTGCCCTCTGGGCAGCTGCACACCTTCCTGGTGTTAACATAAACATTCAAACCTGTAAATAATTTCTGGGAGCTTATTTGAGCCAAACTGTTGACAATTGCTGGAAAACAGAATCTCAAGGAATTAAGATAATGCTCTGGAGAATGGTGGTTTTTCACCTTGTTTTATACATTACAATCAAAAGAGGAGACGTTAGTGGGTTACATGAACGCCATTGGTGATAGATTAGGGAGATGGGAGAAAGCAAAGCAGGGAAACCTCTGGGATTGGATAAAAAGTGAAATGATAGACACATGCTTCTTTTACTTAGGTGGGTGTAGGATAGTTAAGAGTTAACAATGACCTCGGTAACAGTGAGGGGTTTGTGGCCTCCTCAGAGTGGTGCTGTGCTTTGAGGGGTCTGAAAAAGAGGAAAAATTACTTCGACATTCCAACGACATGTTATCATAGATGCAAAAAGATAGTAGGCTCAGTTAAGGTAAAGGTTGGCCTTTGTCAGGGGAGAGACCGGCCTAGGACATGACTACCCACCATAATTGCTTTTAGTTAGAGTTTTAATTTCAGACCATCCTTCGTGGTTACTTTAGTCTCTGAGTTTGCAAGGCTGCCACGAAGGCTTTCCTGAGCTAGTCAGGTTAGCATGTGGCCCCTCTCGTCCACACCAGCCAGCAGAGCCCTGGGCCACCGGTGGGGTTTCTGAGACTGCACTGTGTTCGGCCTCCCCCAATCTCTCCTGCTCATGCTACGGGCCTGGTCTGGGACGTCGACTGCTGCAGGGGCGTCCGTGGATTAGCCCCAGGTGATGGCAGTTACTGCTGCTACAGCGGACAGAAGAGTCAATAGGAGGAATTTTTTTTTTCTTTGTATTTCCTTACTCCTTACATTAAAAAGAATTCTAAGTGGAGGAAAGATCCTACATAATAAAAGCCTAATATGCTTAGTGTTTGGTCGTCCGGTTGTCTGTTCAACCAAAGTATAATATGCTAATGATATGCTAAGGCTGCTCAACCCCTTGCTATGACGTGCACTGACCACCAGGGGACAGACACTGTGACCAGTAGGTTAGCTTGCTGCTGGGGTTTGGCTGATTGGGACTGAGTGAGACAGGCCAGACATGTCCTGGAGCCCTCCCACGGTCCATCCCCAGCTGGCCAAACTCCCGTGTCCCTCCCCGGCCCCAATGGTGCACCGCTGGGATCCCTTGGCCTGGCCCACACCCTCTCGCAATCCAGGACCCCTCGGGGGATGTCGGAGAGCCGGTTTCGGCTTGATCCCGCAGGCCAGGCCAAGGGACCCTACTGGTACATGAATTCGTGCACTGGGCCCCTAGTTTAAATATAAATATGAAATCACAGATATGTTGAGAGGAGATATTGTATATGGGTAAATATATTTCAAAACTCAGAGTAGGAAATGTCTTTGTAAATCTGAAAAATCCAGAAGCAATAAAAGATGGACAAGATTAGGTTATTTTAAAAATACCACCAACAGCCAAAAACTATGGGCAGATAATTTCGCAAAGTGAAAGAACAAATGAAAAATTGAGAAAAAAATTATACAAGACCAAAAATTAGTTTATCGTTAATATACAAAGAGCTCTTACAAATCAATAAGATGAACACTGCAGTTTAAAGTGGGCAAAGACTATGGAAAGGTATTTCACCCAAATGAACATACACATGGCCAGTGAATGAACAGGTGTTCATTTATGTTCATAACTAAGGAAGTGTATTTTAAAAATATTACTATGAATGAGATTACCAGACATTAAAAAGTTTGTGTGTTATTATGTGAGAAAACAGATATTCTCCTACAGGTGGTGGGAGGGTAAATTATTGGAAATAATTTGGAAGCCAACATGGTAAGATTTCTCAAAACATTATTAGAAATTTAATTTATGAAAGAGTTGCAAAAATAGTACAGGTGGTTACCATATACTAGTATATTTCACCCATCTTTTTTTAAAAAATATATTTTATTGATTTTTTTTACAGAGAGGGAGGGACAGGGACAGAGAGTCAGAAACATCAATGAGAGAGAAGCATTGATCAGCTGCCTCCTGCACACTCCCTACTGGGGATGTGCCCGCAACCAAGTTACATGCCCTTGACGGGAATCGAACCTGGGACCCTTGAGTCCGCAGGCCGACGCTCTATCCACTGAGCCAAACCGGTTAGGGCATCACCCTCTTATGTTACCCTCTTACATACTCAGAGAGTTTATCAAAATTAAGACATTAACCTTGGCACTACCTTATTATCCAAAGTACTTAATTTATTTGAATTTCACCGGTTTTTCTCCCTGGTGGTCTTTTTCTGTTCTAGGGTCCAGTGCAGGATCCCATCTTGCACTGAGTTCTTGACTGTAGTTATTATTAAGTCTGTGGCAGTTTCTTAGTCTTTTCTTTATTTTTCATGATCTTGAGAGATTTGAAGAGTGCTAGTCAGAGTTTTATAGGATGTTCTTCAATTGAGTTCCTCAGAATTTTTCTCCTGGTGCATCATATCAGGCGGTCCGTGATGTTGACATAAGGGGGAGTCTGTTAGGATTCTCCAGTATAAAGGTACTGTTTTCCTTTCGTAGTTTGTTAAATATTTTAAAGGAGCGAAGAGCCGTCAGTGTTAAACACATATATTTAGGCCCAGCAATTCCACTTACCGAAGTTTATCCACAGCTGTCTGGGATGTTTCAGCTGCCGCAGCAGGCGGTGGGAGGACCCCTGGACCCCTCGCACTGATGGGGGATTCAGCGAGGCCTTATTGGAAGCACTTGGTCAGTGCCTCCCACGTAATGAGCTTCCTGCTGGCTCCCCCTCCCTCCCCAGAACCCGTGGAGGCCGGAGGTATTTGGAGTTCTGAGTTCTTTCAGAATTCAGAAGCTAGTAAGAGGCATTTATTATATGTTATGTGACAGCTCTGCAGTAACACCCCATAGTCAAACACTGATCTTTCTGCAGCACGATGTATGAATAGTCACATGACCGGAGGAAGGTAAAGACAGTTTTTTAGTAGCTTCAGGTGAGTTCTGGCCAGACCTTGATCTGATTTCAGGCCAGGTTCTGTTGCCGGGTGAGTGATGAAAAATCCCTTTGGGGTTTTAGAGCATTTTGGAGTTCAGAATTGTGGGTGAGGGATTGTACACCGGCATACGAGATTGCAAACACAGATGCAGATGCGGAAGAGTGCTCGTGGCAGCATTGTTGGAAATAAGCCTGGAAAACCCCGCTGGCCCTTGGCAGGACGTTGGCTAAGTCAGTCCTGGTTCACAGGTGCCCGAGGCAGCCCTTTAGAAAGAATGGGGCAGACTGTCATGTGCTGCCAGGAAAAGGGTAACAGGATGTGTCGCTGATTGATTCAGGACGTGTCCAGCACCCTGCGGTGAGCTTGTTTGCTTGTAAACGCACCCAGAAACATCGAGAATGAGGCCGAGAAACGTGGCTGCTCGTGAGAATGACCTGGGAGATTATAAAGCACCATCACCTGGGCCCTGCCTTAAGCACGGTCGGGATTAGAGGCGGAGGCGTGGGGCCCAGGTGTCTGCACAGGCGCACCTCAGCGCCGGCGGCTCAGGTCCAGGCCACCGCTGTAAAGCGAGTCGTGCAAGTAAGCGAGTCGTCATCTTTTTGCCGGTGGAGGGCCTTGCCTTCCATTTGTTAAAAAGGCAACACCTATGCACTTCAGGAAACAGACCAGCAATAAAATAAGGTTTGCCTGTATTAAGAAGGAGGACATCTCCCAGGGACACTTAGAAATACCGTAGGGTTAGAAGGCCCTGTCAGCTCTCCTGTGCTCTCACTCTCAAGGCCTTGACCTCAAAGGTGAGCCCCTGGTGGTCTTTCCCCCTCTCCCCCTTCCTCCTCACCCTTCATCCCTCCTCCCTCTCCCTCCTCCATTGCTGGCCCCACCTGGCATAGAAGCAGTTACTGCTCATTGCCCTCCCTCTGATAAGGTCCTGCTTTATCTGGCTCAGCAGAAGCCTTTTGGCAAAGTCAGCTTTTCCTTGTCCCTGGTGCCCAGTGCTGGCATCCAGCCAGACCTGGCGTTGGGTTGAAGCCCGTGCACCGAATGGATGGCTCCTTTCTTGTCAGCCGAGTCTGTTTCTTTGAAGAACGCGGTGCCCTCTGCAGCTCTCCAAGCTCCGTCCCTTGGGCGTGCTGTGCGCTCCGCGTGCTGTGGTCCCAGCGGTCAGGGAGAGGAGCTCGGGAGCTGGTGCCCGCCTCATTCCTGCCCACAGGCCCTGCCTGTCCCGGGACTTACACAGTGCAGGTCACACTCCTCACACGCCCCGTTGCCCAGGAAACACGTTGGCTGGTGCCCTTAGTGATTCCATCCCCACTTTACAGCAGAGAAAACTGAAGCCTGAGAGAAATGCTTACTTGCCGAGGTCCGTGAGCGAGCCCGGGGGCCAGCCACGCTGCCCGCTGCGGTGCTGCCCGCCTGCTCTCCCTCCGCAGCTCCGCGTCTCAAGGCGAGGACGCCTTCCGCTTGGTTGTGACGATGGACGTGGCCTGCGTGGCCGGCCGTGGAGTACTAATACTGACGCTTGTTTATCTCTGCGTTTATTTGGCAGATTCTCAGCCTGGCCTATGAGATGATGGGACTGGGAAACGGGCGTCGGACCATGAAGTCGCCGCCCTTTGTGCTGGCTGCCCTGGTGGCCTGTATCATCGTCCTGGGCTTCAACTACTGGATTGCGAGCTCCCGGAGCGTGGATCTCCAGGTATTTTGCTTGTTCGCTTTGTTTGTGTGGCTGCCGTAGAGTATTTCACGTTGCTGGGTGGTGGGGCCTGAGGGGTCTGGCTTGCATTTATCGCCCCCTGAGGTGTTGTTCAACGTGTGTGCTCCTTGTAATGCCAGTGCAGGCTCTGCATGTGCCTCCATATCGGACCAAGCTCCTCCTCCCTTATTCTCTAAGCCCTCAGTCTGCCTTTAGAGAGAATCCTGCTAGCCACTTAGCAAGAATCCACTTCTAGCAAGATATCTCCTTCTGATACTTTTCCACGTCTTGACCGCCTCAGTCTGTTCTTTGGCTACCAATCCACTGCTGTCTTTGCTATATTCAGAGTTGAGCATGGTTTCTCTGCCCCCCCCCCCCACCCCCCGGCCCCCGTCATGACCCTGTGGGGTTGTCTCGAATAAAATTTTCCCTACTGTGTTAATAAGCATCAGAATAGTTTTTATTTAACAGTGGATTGTATACATCATCATCTTTTGTACACAACTCTACAAGGTTGGGACTTTATTCTTCCCATTTCACAGGTAGGCAAACAGGCCCAGAGAGGTAAAGTGCCTGGGGAGCTGGGATTCCAACCCAGTCTGTCTGACGTCAGAGCTTGGGCCCTGGAACTTCGAGTGTTTTGTCCTCCTCTCCTGCTTACCCTCCAGGGGTCTAGAGCCTTTGTCTGAGTCATGTTCTCTGCACAGATGGGCTCTTGGCATCCTGGGTTGGAGAACTGAGTCTCTTTTTAGAAATCTTGTCTGATAAGGAGTCGTAAAGTGCCCTTAACGACTTAAGTGGGGAAAAGGAACTAAATACAGTGGGGCCTTGACTTACAGTGTCCTAACGAGTTTTTTGAGATACCAGCTGTCTCTGCGCTGATTTTTTGCATTGAGTTGATAGAGTAATTTGAGTTAACGAGCTCCTTAACGAGCTCGGTCTCAGAATGAATTAAACTCGTAAGTCAAGGCCCCACTGTACTTGAGCAGCATCTCCATCTCACACCTGGTAAAGCATGAGACATTTTATGTATTTATTTAAAATTCACAAAATCCCTGTGCAGGTGTGGTGGTGTTTCCATGGAGACGTGCAGTGGAGTCAGGGAAGCTCATAGCAGTGAATTCTGTTGCTTGTAGAAAAACCGCTGTAGCTTCTACACAGGTGACTGCAGATTGAGCCTTGGGCATAGCCTGTGGGTGAAGGCGTGCTGCCGGCTTTGGGGCTGGGTTGTCTTTGCGCAGGTGGTCTGGTCTCCAGGGAGGGCCTGACATTTGCCCTTACACTGTGGTGTCCTTGTAGACGCGGATCATGGAGCTGGAAGGCAGGGTCCGCAGGGCGGCCGCCGAGAGAGGCGCGGTGGAGCTGAAGAAGAACGAGTTCCAGGGGGAGCTGGAGAAGCAGCGGGAGCAGCTGGACAAAATCCAGTCCAGCCACAACTTCCAGATGGAGAGCGTCAACAGGTTACACCAGGATGAAAAGGCAAGGCCGGCTTGGGTTCTAGACACCCTTCCCCGCTGGGCAGGTCTTCTCCATGGGAGGGGGAGCGGTGTGTGTGTATCCCTGGAATTAACTGAGATTAGCCTTTTGATGAAGCTTTGGGTATCTCCCCGTCTGGATGGGCTTCTTGTAAAACCCTTTGCAATGGGGATAAATGAGAGAAATGAAAAGAACTATCATAGCATCAGATTATCCACCTGTTGGCTTTATTATTATTTTTTTAATCTTTTTTTATTGTTTAAAGTATTACATATGTCTCCTTTCCCCCCCAATTGACCCCTCCCAGGCCACTCCCACCCCCCAGGACAAGCCCCCACCGCCCCACTGTCCGTGTCCATTGGTTACGCTAATATGTATGCATACAAGTCCTTTGGTTGATCTCTTACCCCCCCACCCCCTTCCCTCTGAGGTTGGATGGTCTGTTTGGTGTTTCTTTGTCTCTGGGTCTATTTTTGTTCATCAGTTTATGTTGCTCATTATATCCCACATATGAGTGAGATCATGTGATATTTATCTTTCTCTGACTCGCTTGTTTTGCTTAGCATAATGCTCTCCAGTTTCATCTATGCTATTGCAAATAGTAAAAGTTCCTTCTTTTTTACAGCAGCATAGTATTCCATTGTGTAGATGTACCACAGTTTTCTAATCCACTCATCTGCTGATGGGCACTTAGGCTGTTTCCAAATCTTAGCTATGGTGAATTGTGCTGCTATGAACATAGGGGTGCATATATTCTTTCTGATTGGTGTTTCTGGTTTCTTGGGATATATTCCTAGAAGTGGGATCACTGGGTCAAATGGGAGTTCCATTTTTAACTTTTTGAGGAAACTCCATACTTTTTTCCACAGTGGCTGCACCAGCCTGCATTCCCACCAGCAGTGCACGAGGGTTCCTTTTTCTCCCCTGTTGGCTTTTTTTCTGTCTTCAAACATGTGTTAAGTCCCTGCTCTGAGCCGGGCCTGTGCTGGATTTGTGTCTCAAAGGAGAGTAATATTTGTGCTCTTTATGTCGGATGATTGGAAAGGTTGCATGAAGGGTCATTCAGGAAAATACTAACAGAGTAAGGGGACTCAAGGATGCTGGATTTTAAGTTAAAAAAAAATTTGATTTTGAGGCCTCAGCTGATTTTGGGGGATTGAACTGTCATTCTGATTTTCATTTCTTTTTTGTCTCCTTCTCTGTTGCAGAATTAGGTATGTTTATGGTGGCTTGATACATAAATGCAATTATTTGAGTTTATATTGTATTGCTACAACTTGGTGGACGCCCTCGTATAGTTGTATATAAGAAGAGTTATACAGCTTTGTTTTGCAACAGAAATGATTGTGTAAGAAGTTAACCTTAAATAACTTTCAAAAAAGTTGTCTTTCTTAATTATCAAAATATTATAGACAGTTTTGAAAATACAAAAAAGAAATTTAAAATCACCTGCAGTTCCATCACTCAGAGATTAACTACTAAGAAGCACTCACCCCCTTTAAAAAAAAAATAGATTACATCTAAGCTTTTCTAAATCACTGTTATATTCAAGCTTTTATAAATGTGGGTATGCCATGAAAAGTATAGAATGTAAAGGGGGCTCTTTAAATGATACATACATTTGAACACATCTAGTTTGCACATCATTTAAAAAGACCTGGAAACTCTTGGCTTATTATGCATTGTTATTTCAGGGGTGTTGAGGCAACCACTTCAGTGATAGAAAACCAGGAGTATAATTCGAGATAAGAGAGAATTCTTCATAAACGTTTGCTGAAGGGAACTGCAGTGGATTCCCTTGACGTCTGATTGGCTGAGGTGGCTAGGTTTTGGACATGAAGATGTACATTTGATTCAGATGAACAGGAGTGCACATACACGTGTTACTGCTTCATAACACATTACCCCAAAACATAGTGATTTAAAACCATGATGGACAGCGTGTATGCTGCTCAGGTGTCTGCTTTTTGGGAGGGCTTAGTGGGGCAACTGTGTGTACTCCACTGTGTCACCGTGTGGGGTGCCTCAAAGTCGGGGGGCAGAAGGTCTCCTCACTCGTGTCTGGTGACCAGTGACCAGAGGCCTCCGTGGGGCCGGGGCTGAAGCACCTGTGAGGCTTTTCCGCATGGCTGCTTGCCCTCCTTTACTGTGGAGGCTGGATTCCCAGGCCAAGCATCCTGCTGAGGGGGGAGGGAGCGGAGGAGAGGAGGGAGCCGGGAGAAAGCTGTCACCTGTGTGTGCGGTCCCAGGTCTGCCATAACAAATTACCGTAAACGGCGCGGCTTAAAGCAACGAAGATGAACTCCTTCGAGGAGGCTTGGAAGTCCAAAGTCAGGGTGTCACAGGACCTAGGAGGCTCCATCGGAGGATCCTTCCTGTGCTTCTTGCAGCTCCTGGCGTCTGCTGGCACCTTTGACGTGACTTGACTTGCACTTGTGTCCCTCTGATCTCTGCCGCTGTTCGCACAGGGCGTGTCCTCCACGTCTCTGCGCTTTGCCTGTTCTCTTCGGTCACATCGATCTAGGACCCACCCTCGGGACTTTAACTTAATTACAGCTGCTTAGGCCCTGTTTCTGGACAGGCTTTTCATAGGCTCATTTATAGGTTCTGGGTGGACATGGGTTTTCGGGGTGAAAGCCATGGCACCTGTTTCGTAGTCAGCAGGGCCAGCCCCTCTGCGGTGGCTGGAAGTGCGTGGCCGAGGCCAGCCCAGACGGAAGGGGAGAGGGAATCAGCCTCTGTCTGTGTCAGAAACCTGAGGTCACATTGTCAACCGCCAAATGTGTGTGGTTATAAATAACCTTTACCCAGCCAGCAGTGAAATGCTATTTTCTTTTTAGATTTATATGTGTGTATGTATAAAATAAGTGTTTAGGGGGCCCCAGTAGAAAGAGGCCTTCAGGTTCTAGTTTTTGGCAAAAGCTAACGGAGAGTCGCTGGTGCAGGTCTGCACTAGTGTCTCAGGGCGGCACAGGATGTTTTATTCATTCTTTTACTTGGTTGTCAGAAGGCAGATCAGTCCTTTTGGGCCTGAAGACCTGATGAGATCTCGGGCCCTCTCCTGGCCCCTGGCTGCCTCGAAGCCGCACAGTGGCCCTGGAGGCACGTGAGGGGCACGTGACCTCCTCTCTGAATGCCTGGGCAAAGAATCAGAAGACCCTGAGGGACTTAGTGGCACTTCATCCAGGGAACACCCAGCTTCCTGCTACTGTGTTCATTTTTGCTTGCTACCGGTTGGAGTCAGAAGTAGCTTCATTTTGTACAATTTTATTTGTGACGTTCATGCTAGGCTGGTTTCTTGCAGCCATTTATCCGATGTTGAAATTTAGGCTTTTCATTTGCTGTTAAACTATGTAAATGAAAAAAAATATGTGAGCGAGCAGTGCAGTCAGTAGTGCAAAGCAAATCGTTTGAGTACCATTTCATTTGTAATGGAAATACAGTACTTCCTGAAGGGCAGCCGTGGCCTGAAAAAGAAAGATGGCCTAATGGGAGATGAGAGGAGGGGATGTTGGGGATATGCTAATTCACCTGTGTCCAGAAGAGAAAAGCTTACAGGCGGAGGCAGCCGGGAAGGTGGAGGGAGAACAGGCCTGCCATTCACCTAGCCTCACCTTCCTCACTCACCTGTGTGACCTGCGTCTGCTTTGAGGTGGCTTCGGTGAGCTCCCGGGTTTCTCCTTTCTTGCCTGGTAGGTAACTAGGTGCGTGAGGAGACTCCCCGGCCTTATTGGAGGGGGCGTGGCATGAAATCGCCATGCTTCAGAGGGCTTTCCTGTTGTCAGTGACGGGTGAGTGGCTTTTCCCTGGCTGCTGGGCGGGAACGCAAGGAGAGCCGAGATGGTTTGTGCCGTGGGCCTGGGCTGGGGGCTGCTCCCTTCGGCGTGGGTTCCTGTGGGTGATTCTCAGGAAGATTCTGCCCCTTCCGAAGGACTTGACTAGAATTAAGCAGCTTGGTCATTTGTCCTGGCTTAGAGTGCTTTTAGAACGCGTTTAAGGTGCCGACGGGGAGACAGGTGTGGCCTTTGGGATGGAGGTACAGGCTGCGCCCTGAGAGGTCGCTGGCTGGCTCCAGGGCCCTGCCGTGTGGCCGGGGCTGGCCCAGGCTGCTGGCTCCACCACTGCCTGCCCGGCAGCAGACACGGCTCTCGGGGTTCCAGTTTCTCTGCTCCGGGTCGGCTTTCCTTGTGCACCTGAGAGCGAGGCGATTTTCTTCTGCAGACGCGCTTTCTCGTTTGTTTTTGTTTTGGAGGGCCAGAGCAGATCCCTGTCGTTTCTTTGCTTTTTATCACCTCTTCTCCCTGTGACCGATGGAAGAATCAAGGCTTCTAGAAAAGCGTTTCTGTTTTTATCCCCATTCATTTTCTGTGTTCAGTTCTGTCTGTCTGCTCAGGATGCTGCCGGGCACTGGCCTTGTGCCCCGTCGGGACCAGGCTGTGCCTGTTGTCTGTGCATTTCCCATCGGGTGCTGTGGAGGGATGAGTAAATGGGTCTGGTGGAGTCAGTCATAGACAGAAGTCACTCCAGCTGTTTGATGCAAAAACGATTTGGTACAGGGAAGTAGATGCCCACGGGATGGTGGGAAGGGCCTGGGGGAGCAAGCTTGCTGGGATGGCTCACCTGTCAGGACCAGCCCCAGGGCCCGACCCGGAGGCTGGAGGCTGAGGCTGGAGGCTGAACCGGGAGGCTGTGCGGGGGCCTTCACTCAGACGCAGGGCCACCGCACTCCTTGCTCCATTCTGCACCTCCAGCCTCTAACCCCGTCAGCATTCCACTCTCCAGGGAGTGTATCTGATTGGATCTAAGTCCCACTGGGAAGGAGTCTGGAAAATGTACGTTAGCTTCCAAGCTGCTTCAGGAAGGCGCAGCAAAGGCTGTGTGCTGCAGATGCGGGACCTGCGTCCGCCCCCAGGCATGAGGGAGGGGGTGCCCAAGTGCTGTGGGGTCACAGGAGAGTGTCCTCCACCGAGACACCTGGAAGCCAGGTGAATGTCCCTGAGGGTGTCGGGAGGTGGGAGCAGCACCCCGTGGCTGGGTGTGAGGCTGGTTTTTCTCTCCATTACTTTTCTGTTTTTATCCCCATTAATTTTAGGAACATATAGGGAGTACACAGGAGCACAGGGGCCCTTCACACAGGGTCTTTTAAGCCACTTACAGTTTGGACTTGAGCTGGAGGGCGGGGGACCCATCAGAGGGTTTAATCTGTGGATAAGAGTCATCAGATCAGGTCTGGGGGTTTAAAAGGTGGGTCCTGGCCCTGGGGAGTGTCCTTGGGGCGGGGAGCAGGGCAGAGCAAAGGCAACTCTTGAAATATTTGAAGCAAAAATTATGTGCTGAGTTGAGGTAAGAGTGGAATGAATTCTGCAAAGTGAGCAGATTCGAGAGGCAGCCAGCAGGACATGCCTGGGTGACAGGTGCAACATGGAGAAGGGGGGAGAGAGGCTGCTATAAATAAATACTTGGCTCTTCTCTGCTGCTGGGACTCTCTCTGTCCTCCCTTCTTATTCTTCAGGGCCTGAGCTGTCCCTGCCAGCCTGTGGCTGTTGAGCACTGGAAGTGTCCCAATTGGGATGTGCTGTAATGTGAATAGGTTTGAAGGCTTAGAATGAATAGAAAAGCAAAATATCTCATGAATACTGTTCTGTGTTGATTACATCCGAGATCAGCCATTTAAGTTGGTCCTTTTTCTGTTTGTTTCAGCTCTGGTGTTCAGAGGGAAGGAGGTTTTGATCGCTGGGCGAGGTGGAAGTTTACGTGTACAGTTCATGTTGTTGTACAAAAGATCTCTGGATAGTTTTTATCTTGCAACACTAGGACTCCATGCTCATTCAACCCCAACTCCCCTCCCCGCACCCTCAGCCCTTGGCAACTGTCCGCTTTTCTACTTTCTGTTTCTCCGATTTTGACTGCGTTAGATCCTTCCTCCGAGCGGAATCATGTAGCATTTGTCCTTTTGTGACTGGATTGTTTTGCTTGGCATTCTGTCCGCCAGGTTCATCCCTGCTACAGCATGTGGCATTCTGTCTTAAAGGCTGCATAACAGCCTGCTGCGTGCACATCTTCGTCACCATCGGGGACAGGAGGTGGCTGCAGCGCTGACGCCTGTGAATCGTGCTGCTGTAAAACGTGGGGCTGAGGTGCCGCCTCGGGATCTTGCTTTGAGTTCTTCCAGACGAATCCCCGGAGTGGGGATGCTGGGCTACGTGCTCATCTTTTGTCTTTTTAGCTGAACTGGTGCAAGCCTGTTCTGAGAGGCGCAGGAGCTGCACGCTGTGTAAATCGGATTCCTGGCTGTGCGGATCCTCCTGTCACCGCGGGTTCTCTCCTCTCTGCTGCCCGCATAGAATCTTTTTTGTTGGCATAGAATATCTATAAAGACCCCTCTTGATAACCTCTCCCTGAGAGAATAGTTATCCTATATACCAGTGGTTCTCAACCTTCTGGCCCTTTAAATACAGTTCCTCATGTTGTGACCCAGCCATAAAATTATTTTCGTTGCTACTTCATCACTGTAATGTTGCTACTGTTATGAATCGTAATGTAAATATCTGATATGCAGGATGGTCTTAGGCGACCCCTGTGAAAGGGTCGTTCGACTGCCAAAGGGGTCGCGACCCACAGGTTGAGAACCGCTGCTATATAATAAAAGTCTAATAAGCAAATTGTCCCCTCGACGGGGAGTTTGACCAGGGGGCGGGGGCGGCAGGTGGCTGGGGGAAGGAAGGGCCCGGTCGCCAGCTGCGAGGCCCCGGCAGCCACTAGGGACCCTCCCCGTGCGTGGATTTCATGCACTGTGACTTCTCCCCTATTATACCAGGAAATGTGCCTTTGCTTGGGTCTCCTAGAATAAACACCAGATTAGCCTGGCCGGATTTCATTTCTGGTGCACACCCCTGTATTCACAAACACCTGACTCCAGGAAACTCTGTCCAGGCCAGAGGAAGGGCAGGGGCTGGGCAGAGAGGTCCAGGGGAAGGCCAGAGGCACAGAAGGGGGAGGCCGTGTGGTTGGCATCATCACCGGGAACCAGAAATGGGACAGAAACGTGTCTCCGAGTTACGGGCGGCGTTTTCCAAGCGTCGTTGATTATGACACAGCAAGAAGCTTTCCCGGGTGGCCGCGTGCACAGTGTGTGCACAAAGCAGTGCTTCCAGTGTGAGGTGCTCTGGTGTGTAAATTCCAGTCCAGCCCTCTTCAGGTTTTTGTTCGCCGTTAGTGCTGGGCGCAGCCCACTGGATTGGTGTCCTGCTCGAGGTTCAGACCCAGTTTGGCAAGTAGTGATGGAGTGCTGGCTCCCGGAGCTGGCGCTGGGCTCAGGGGTGGCTCTGCGTGTTGGCTGTTGAGAGAGCTGCGGGACTGGAGCTTCCTGAGCAGCCTGTGCCTCAGAGGAGGAGCGCCCGCCCGCTCCCGCAGCCCAGCCGGCAGCCAGCCGGCGTGAGGAGAGGGAGCCCCTGGATGGGGAGCCTCCGCAGAGACCCGCTGTGAGGCGTTCGCTGGGCACGCACAGGCTGCTGGTCCCGCTCAGCTGCACACTCATTTCTTTCTTGTTGCTGCTTTTTCATTGTTGTCCCGAGTCCTGTGCGGCCTTTTCCCTGCTCTGCTGTCAGCGTTCCCAAATCTGTGTCACCAGCTGGGTGTGAGCCCCGCACTCCCCAGGCTTGCCGACTGTGGACAGAAGGAAGAGGCCAGAGGTTACGTTAAAATGACGCAGAGAGCTGAGCTGGAGGAGTGGGCCCCAAGTTTCCTTCTCTTCGCTCTGTTAGCCGGCCTGGCCCTCAGAGTTTGACTTCTGAGTGAGGATATGGCTGTACCCAGGCTCCTCCAGAAAAAAAGCCAGAGCTGGGAATCAGCCAGGCGTGGCAGGGGCCTTGCACAGAGGAGGGGCCGGTCCTGGAACTCGGCCAGGGCCAGGGACCGGTTCCTCTTCCTCCGGTCACAGCTGGCGTTGGGCGGGCAGGCCTCTGTGTGCGAGTTCCTTTCTGGCTGTGGGCGTCAGGTAATCAGAGCTGCCCGCCCCGGGCCTGCCCTCCTGACCTCTGCGTTGGGTGGGGAGGGGTGCAGCCTTCCTTTTCCCCACGTGTATGTTTTACTGGGGTGGGTTCTGGTGTTTCATTCTGCGTTTATCTTCCTTGCAGGCGGTTTTGGTGAATAATATCACCACGGGCGAGAGGCTCATCAGGACCCTGCAAGGTGAGCTGTCCTCTCCTCCTGACACCAGGCCTCTGGCCGGCGGACCTACTTTCCTCTTGTCCTGTGGGTTGTTTATTCTAATCTAGTGACGGGTGTGATTACGAGTGATGGAGTAATCTTTAATTTATCCTTAAAGAGCTTTTCCTCTAAAAATGCTACTGAGTACATTGCAAGCTGCTCTGCAGAGAAGAATTCACACTCTCATTTTTTGATACGGTGAAAAGAATATACGTATGTGCCCACACACATACCTATGATATGTATGTGATCTATTTTTTATGTATGGTGTATATACACGGTGGGGCAAAAGCAGGCCTGCAGTTGTTCGTATGGAAAATAGTACAGTCATTAACACAGAAGAAGAAAAATAGACTGTTTCTCATACTCACAACTGCAGACCTACTTTTGCCCCCGCCTGTGGTTCGATTGGACAGCGCCTGTCTAGGAGTCTAGGAAAGTTCGGAGGGGAAAGGCAGGGCTACACAGAGTTAAGTGAGTTCTTGGTCCCGGGGGCTTCTCAGAGCTTGCGATCTGCTGATGCTCCTGGTCACACGTCAGGAAGGGAGGACGGCTGCAGCCTTTCCCACGCACCCTGTGCTGCTGAGCGGCCGCTGTGTTTTGAGACGTGTCATTAGGCGGTCTCGTCATTGTGCACGCAGCGTGGCGCGTGCTCACTCACACCTCGATGGTGTGGCCTCTGCACACCGAGGCTGATGGCAGTACTTCATTCCTTTTCGTTGTGGAATACTATTCCATTGCCCATGCTCAGTTTGATTTATGGAGCCTTTTTATTTTATATTTTATTGGTTTTTTACAGAGAGGAAGGGAGAGGGATAGAGGGTTAGAAACATCGACCAGCTGCCTCCTGCACACTCCCCACTGGGGATGTACCCACAACCAAGGTACATGCCCTTGACCAGAATCGAACCCGGGACCCTTGAGACTGCAGGCCGGTGCTCTATCCACTGAGCCAAACCGGTTAGGGCGGAGTCTTTTTTTTTTTTTTTTTAAGGTTAATGGAGCTGTACTTTACACACAATCAAGTTTGCCCTTTGCAGTGTGCCTTTCTATACGTTGTGACACATGCCGAGTGCCCCAGACCACCACCGTCACAGTCAGGACACAGTTCGTGTCCATCACTCCAGGATGTCCCTCCCCCCCACCCCCCGCAGACTTTCATGGTCAGCCTCCTGCCCCCACCTCAGCCTCGGGCCCCCACTGAGCCGTTTCCCACCCGGGAGATGCCCCTGACCCCATCCCGGTGTTGCCTTTCGAGGCCATTACATACATGTGCTTGAGATGGATCCTTGTGGCTGTGCAGCAGCAGTTCCCGGAATCCTTCACTTTCTCTTACTTCCCCCCAGAGAGCCCGGCAGGTCTAGAGTTGTGAGGACAGCCTGGGGGGGACTCAGGTGTCTGTCCAGGGCTGTGTCCTGGCCCTGCTGCCCTCTGCCCGCCCTGCGGGCCCCTCCGTGGCAGCTTGCCCGCCCACCCCCAGCTTGGCGCTTTGTCAGCTGCTGCTGTTTTTCTGTAGAGCTTTTACAAGATTTTTTTTTCAGTGTTTCTGTAGCATCCCAGCCATTTTCTTACCAGCCTTATAAATACCTACTTAGTTTGTTTTTCCTACTGCGTTGCCTTTATTTTTTAATTTTTTAAAATATATTTTTATTGCTTTCAAAGAGGAAGGGAGAGGGAGAGAGAGAATCATTCACTGATTGGCTGCCTCCTGCATGCTCCACACTGGGGATCGAGCCCACAACCCTGACCGGGAATCACACCGGACCTCCTGGTTCATAGGTCGATGCTCAACCACTGAGCCGCCGCGGCTGGGCCTATGTTGCTTTTATGAGCCAAGTTGTCAGGGCAGCAGGGATGGGGCTGAAGAATTTCCTCAAGGAAAGCTGCAGTTTCCCAGATAAGAGGGCGAGATGATTACATGAACACGGGGGCCTCGGAGAGTAGCTTGGCTGTGAGCAGATGACTGGAGAAGTTCCCTGGTGGAGCCTGGCAGCCAAGGACAGGCGGAGGGAGGAGCGGCTACTCATCTGATAAGATGTCAAAATCAGTGGGCTACATAGGAGCTTTTGTGACCTGGTAGGACAGACAGCTCAGGGCTTATGATGTCTAAGAAAGAAACAGGCATTTTCAGGGTTGGAGATCAAGAAGGAGATTTAAGAGAGAAGACATGTTTGGAAAAGGAGCCAAGTGCCGCCGGTTCCTGTAGATCTCGAAGGGCCACCTCCCTGGCGGGGGCGTCGGGGTGCGGGGGGGGGCATGCGCTCACCTCTCCCCTTCCCGTCCTGTGGGCCGGTGTGACCCCGTCCTCCCTGTGGCTCAGACCAGCTGAAGGCCCTGCAGAGGAACTACGGCAGGCTGCAGCAGGACGTCCTCCAGTTTCAGAAGAACCAGACCAACCTGGAGCGGAAGTTCTCCTACGACCTGTAAGTGTGTCTCGGCACCAAGTGTGTGCATTCGGGGCTGCCGAGCTCCAGGCCTCGGGCAGCGGACGGGCCGACCTAGTCACCGCTCACCCTCCCTTTCAGGGAGAAGATGGGGAAGGCCCAGTCCCCTCCAGGAGTCAGGCCTTCAGAAATAATGCATTTTACGTCTTAAGTGTTAGCAGTGCTTCAGAAAGGCGTGGGAAAGTGTTAGCCAGTGGCTCGTAATACAAGATAAATAAGAGGGCAGTTCTCCGTAGCAGGAAATGACTTGCTCAGCCTGCTTTAAGCCGTAATGTAACTTCACGCTCTGTGGAGCACAGGTGACCTGGCTAAGTCGGTACATTCAAAGCCTTTAAGCGTGTGTTCCAGAAGTGCTCAGATGTGACCTGCGTCCACCTCCCAGATTAAGGGGCAGGTAGGTCTCTGAAAGGACTCTGGCCATCTGCGTGGTGACCAGCGATGTACCAGAACAAGTCTCCCCACACTGATTGCCCTGGTAGGGATTCTGATGTCTTCCAAGCGGTTGTCCACCGTGACATCTTCCTGATCACTTTAAAACCAAGTACAGCCCAAACTAGGAGCCCCCAGGACATAAACAGGCAAAGGACATGTGTAGTCAAGGCAAAGGAAACATAGTAAGAAAACATGCATAGATGGAACCTTGTTCAGCTCGGCCAGTGGTTCTCAGTGGGTGGCATTGTGCCCAAGGAGACTTTTGGTGGGCATTTTTGATTGTCACAACTCAGAAGAGGGGCTACTGTCATCTAGTGGGTAGAGAACAGGGAGGGACACTGCTAAACATCCTGCAAAGATGGGTCTCCTCCCACAATGAGGTTTTACCTGCCCCCAAATAGCACAGGTGCCGAGTTGAGAAACCCTGAGCTAGGCTGGTAATCAAAACTTGAAGGGCCCCAGTCTTACTATTATTCATCCTTGAAAGACACCTTAATGCACATATTCCCCGTCCATTGACTGAAATACAGTAAGCCATTAATGGCCTGGATATATTTGACCCAGAAGGTTTTAGCTGGACATCAGCCAGGGCCCAGTGACAGGGAGGGCAGCTCTGCCTCCCAGATAGGAGCATTCAGACAAGCAGTGAGCGGAATGTTCTAACCTGGGTTGGCCATGTGTGTGGGACGCACTGTTTTTCTCTTAGGAGGATGATGGATGGAAAACTCTGGCTGAGCACATCCGTTTCATTAGTTGTGTCCAGAGCCCTGAGCCAGATACAAGATGATTCCCAGGGATGATGCTCATTGAATGTTGAAAGCTGGAAAGAGTTAGTTGCTTCTAACTGTCTTTGGATTAGAGACCCTTTGTGAGGATCTGGTAAAAGATAGGAACACCTTGTTAGCCAGTTTATGAATGGACATGTACACAGCGCTATGCATGAAGGTCCCACAAACTGAATGCACAACTTGGTGTATATGTCCATTTATAAATGTGCCCATCGTCCATTAGAACACCCTCTCTGGCCTCAGCATTTTACAGAAGGCCATGCTGAGAATGCAGAAGCTGAGGAAAGGCCAGGAAACCTTCAAATACCAGAGTGAGCATTCATCCCCACTTCGTACTCCTGCCCTGTGGCAGACATCACTGAGCGATCACTGTACTTGATCCAAACACAGCCTTGCATTCCCTTCCCAGGGCCCCTAGAGTTGGTGGATGGGATGAACTGCCTGTGCTCTCCCCTCCATGCCATGAGGAAGTGGGCTGGTGGAATGTAATCAGTAACACTCTGAGTCAGCACCCTGGATCCTCAGATCATCTGCCTTGATAGATCCCTGTACTGAGCACATTCTGTTCATGGTCCTCCGACCACTGGTTGCACCGTTTAGGACAGCCGTGGGCAAACTACGGCCCACGGGACGGATCCGGCCCGTTTGAAATGAATAAAACTAAAAAAAAAAAAAAAAAGACCGTACCCTTTTATGTAATGATGTTTACTTTGAATTTATATTAGTTCACACAAACACTCCATCCATGCTTTTGTCCCGGCCCTCCGGTCCAGTTTAAGAACCCATTGTGGCCCTCGAGTCAAAAAGTTTGCCCACCCCTGGTTTAGGATGAGCTCTGGTGGCCAAGTCTTGTATGTCTCTCCATTTGAGCTCCAGTTAATGCCTGCACATGCATCATGAAGGTGTAAGGAAAGCCAGCCCGCGGCCTCCAGGAAGGAACACTGTCCCGATCTGTAGGACCTGCACGTGAGCTTGGTTCTGCGGTTGCTCCTCTTGTTGCTGTTGAGTGGGGACGTGGAAGCTGACCTTAATCCGCAGGGCTGAGATGCACAGGCTCTTTTCTTTGTACTTGATGTTGGCAGGGCTGAGAGCAGGCGAAAACAGTAGTTCCTTTTGTAGATTTAAAGGTCCAGCAATGGCCCTGCACCTGCTCCTGTGCTAATCCTGAGCTTCTGTGACGTTGTTGGATCACAATGAATTGGACACCTCTGGTTCTTTCGGTATACAGATGTCTTTCTTTTTGTTCGCTGTGCTAAGCTACGGGGCACTAGTCTACCGCCCGCGGCTCGCATGTGAGTGAGAATTTTACACAAGCGAATTTTCTCCAAGTCTTCTCTTGATCTGTAAGCTGTGCCAGGTTAGGATCGCTGTCTTTCATTATTTCTAAAGTACCTGGTGTCCCTCTGTGTGCGTGGCTGAGATCCAGTAAGTTCTGTGAACTGACGAGTACAGCACTAGAGTTAGGAGTCGCGTGCACTTAGCCTGGCTCTGAAATGGGTGTGGCTCGGAAGAGGCAGCTGTGGGGCAGAGGGAGCCTTGCAGTCAGGAAACCACAGTCTGGCTTCTGATTTCAGCCTTGTCTCTCTTCCTCTCTGCAACCCTGGATGGTGTCAGTCAGGTCACCTCTTAGCTTCCTCATTTGTACAAGTGGGTAATTCTCTCAATTACTTTATAACAGACACTTGAGTTCCAGGTACAAAGCTGAAGTGATACCTCAAAGTGTCTCTGCTGATTGGGAGCTTGGGCCGAATTAGATTCTGTGCTTCATCTGCAGTTCTCTCACACCAACTGGGTATCCTCCAGTTCAGTTCAGTCATTTCCATCTTTTAATGTAAATTTTGAATTTTAGATTTATTGCTAAGATAGTAGAGTTCCCATATATCCCATACCCAGTGTCCCCTGTTATTAACATTAGTGTGGCATTAGTGTGGCACTTTACATTAGTGTGGCATTTTTGTCACCATGAACTAACCAATACATACATTATTGTTATTTTTTAAAATGTATTTTTATTGATTTCAGAGAGGAAGGGAGAGGAGGGAGAGAAGGATAGAAATATCAATGATGAGAATCATAGATCAGCTGCCTCCTGCACACCCGCTACTCGATGTCGAACCACAACCCAGGCATGAGCCCTGACAGGGAATTGAACCGTGGCTTCCTGATTCACAGGTCAACGCTCAACCACTGAGCCATGCCGGCCAGGCCACAGATGATGTTTTAAAAATTGTTTTTTTTCTAACCAGTAAAGTTTACCTGTTCTAGAACAAGGTGACATAGTCTTAGAAAGTTTCAATCAACTACAGTTTCCTTGTCATTTAATACAAGCACACGTTGTCCTGCTTACGTGTTGTCTGTAGATGACGTGCCTGGGGCGGGGGAAGTGTCTCCTGTGGATTTCAGTCACTGCAGGGACACACCTGGCGTACAGACACCCCTGTAGATGTTTGTCCTTTCCTTCTGTCCCAAAGGAGCCAGTGCATCAATCAGATGAAAGAGGTGAAGGAGCAGTGTGAGGAGCAAATAGAAGAAGTCACCAAAAAGGGGAACGAAGCTGTGGCTTCCAGAGACCTGAGTGAACACAAGGAACCAAGCCAGCAGGTAATTCTGGATTTCACTGCCAAGGATTTGCAGGTTTTCCTACCGGTCTCCAGGCATTTTGTTCCCTTGTCTGCTGTCTGGTTTGCTCTGCTCTCTGCTCTCCCCAGTGGGTTTGCTTCCCTGAGATACCCGGCCTGGCCCTGGGGTGCTGAGTAGGCTGGCCTCCGGGCCCAGGCCCTGTGCTCTGGGCTCTACCGGGATTACTTCACGGAAAGCTCACAGCCACCTTGGGAGGGAGTTGCTGCTGTTTTCATGTTTTGAGGGTGCTGAGGCCCATGGTGATAGTTAAGTGCGATGGCCAAGGTCACACTTAACCTGGTTAGCGGTGGAGCCGATCAGAGCCCATGCCTCCAGGCTGTCTCCTGTGTAAAGCACATCCCATGAAATTGCTTCTGGGAGTTCTTCATTTTTGTTTTAAAATATAGCAGCTTTATTGAGATATAATTTATATACCATACAATTCACCCATATAATATTTGCAATTTTTTGGTTTTTGGTATATTCACAAAGTTGTGAAACCACCATTGCTATCAATTTTAGAACATTTTCATGACCAAAGGAACCCCATACTCATTAGCTCACCCCTCACTTACCCCAATCCTCCCAGCCCTAGATAACCACCAACCCATTTCCTGTCTCTGTAGAGTTGCCTAATCTGGACATTTCATATCAATGAAATCATTATGTGGCCTTTGTGTCTAACTTCTTTCCCTTAGCATAATGCATTCAAAGTCCATGTTGTAGCTTTATTTTTTTATGGCTGAATAATATTCCATTATATGACATACCACTTTTCTTTATTCATTTGTCCATTGATAGTTATTTGGGTTATTTCCAATTTTTTGGCTGTTATGAATAATGTGGCTATGAACATTCATGTACATATTTTTTTATGGGCATAAGTTTTCATTTCTCTTAGGTATATACCGGGGAGTGGAACTGCTGGGTCATGGTAAATTAATGTATTGAGAAACTGCCAAACTATTTTTGGAAAGTTATCATATCATTTTACATTCTCACCAGCAGTTTATGAGGGTCCCAGTTTTTCCACAGTCTTGTCAACTCTTGTTATTACCTACCTTTTACATTACAGCCATTCTAGTGGGTGTGGAGTGTTTTCTCATTGTGGTTTGGATTTACACTTTCCTAATAACTAATGATGTTGAGCATCTTTTTCATGTGCTTATTGGCCATTTGTATATCTTCCTCAGAGAAAATGTTTATTAGCTCCTTTGTCATTTTTAAAAGTTATTTTTTATTGAGTTGTAAGAGTTTGTAATGAGTTCATACATATATACAGCTATTGGACATATGATTTGCAAATATTTTTTCTCATTCTGTGAGTTTTTTACTTGTTGGTGTTCATTGAAGCAAAAAGGTTTTACTTTTGATGAAATCATGTTTATATATTTCTTGTGTTGCTTATTCTTTTGATGTCATATCTACAAATACTTTGCCTAACCCAAGGTCAGGAAGATTTACTCCTGTGTTTTCTTCTGAGAGTTGTATAGTTCTTCACATTTTGTTCTTACATTTAGTCCTATGCTCCATCTTGAGTGAATTTAGTCTTTGTAGCTGCTGTGAGGATAGGGATCCAACTTCAGTCTTTTGCATTGTCTATCCACTTGTCTCAGCACCACTTACTGAGAAAAATAATCCTATTCTTCCCCACACTGAATTGTCTTGGCACCCTTGTTAAAAATCAGTTTGCTATAAACACGAGGGTTTACTTCTAGACTCTCACTTTTATTCCATTGTCTATCCTGTCAGTACCTCACACACAGTCTTGGTTACTGTAGCTTTATAGAAACCTCCAATTTTGTTGTTCTTTTTCAGGATTACTTTGGCCATTCTGTATCCATTGACTTTCACTATGAATTTTAGGATCAGTTTGTCAGTTTCTTTAACAAAGCCATGTGGGATTTTGAGAGGTTACATTGAATCTGTAGATCAGTTTGAGGTGTATTGCCCTCTTCGCAGCATGAAGTCTTCAATCAGATGTCTTAACATATTTAAGGGATGGCTTTCCACATATTTAAGTCCTTTAGAAATCTCTGTCAGCAGTGGTTATGATTTTCAGAAGTCTTGCACTTTTTTTGTTCAATTTATTTCTAAGTATTTTTTGATGCTATTATACATGGAATTATTTTCTTAATTTCATTTTCAAATTATCTTTTGCTGGTATATAGAAATACAATTCATTTTTATATTGATCTAACTTGATATTTTTTTGAATGATTTTTAGAGAGAGTGGGAGGGAAGGAGGAAGGGGGAAAGAGAGAAACATTGATTGATGTGAGAGAGACCCATTGATTGGTTGCCTCCTGCACGGGCTGGGGATCAAACCTGCAACCCAGGTATGTACCGCTGACTGGGACTTGAACCTGAGACCCTTTGATGCACAGGCTGGTGCTCTAACCACTGAGAATACTGGCCAGGGCTACATTTACCATTTGCCTACCATAAGCACCTATAGACCAACTTTAAATAATCATTTTTCGTGAGCATTTTCAACTGAAACTATTCAAGAACACCCGAATTGTGAGTAATATATTTATTTTTATAATATTCATTGCAAATTGACTTTTTAAATTAAATTTAAAATACCGTGGCGTGTGGGGATGGTTTCCGTTTTAGATGCGTGGCAGTTAACTCGCTGAGTTTTAAATGTTAAACTGACTTTGCATTCTCAAGATAAATTCCTTGGCTGTGGTATGTAATTCTTTTGTGTGTTGTTGAATATGACTTGCTAATATTTTGTTGATGATTTTGGTGCCTATATAAGGAATATTGGTCTATAGTTTTATTTTTTTGTAATGCCTTTGACTGGCTTTGGTATCAGGGTAATACTGGCTATAAAATGACTTGGGGGGTATTCCTTCCTCTTGTTTTTTGGAAGAGTTTGTGAAGATTTGGTATTCTTCTTTAAATGTTTGGTAGAATTTACTAATGAAGCCATTTTAGGCCTGGGCTTTTGTTTGGGGGGGCGGGGGCGGGGGGTTAGAGGGGTGTAATTTTTAAGTTACTAATTCAATCTCTTGTTATAAGTCTACTCAGATGTTCTACTTCTTGAGTCAGTTTTGGTAGTTTGTCTTTCTAGGAACATGTCTATTTCATTTAACTTATCAATCTTGTTGATAAACAGTTCTTCATAGTATTTCCTTATAAATAATACTTTTTATTTGTGTATGGTTAGTATTGTTATATCCTTTCATTTTTTATTTTAGTAATTTGAGTCTACTCTCTTTTTCCCCTCAGTTAATCTGGCTAGAGGTTTGTCAATTTTTTTCATATTTTCAAGAACTTGATTTCATTGATTTTTCTCTATTTTTCTATTTATTTCATGAATTCCTTCTCTAATCTTTATGATCTTTCCTTGAGTAGGCTCAGTTTGCTCCTGTGGCGTCATTATCTTCACCGTGAAAGATTATGTTACTGACTTTTGAGATCTTTCTTTTTCTTAATGTAGGCCTATACATTCCTTCTAAGCACTGCGTTAGCTGCCTCCCATAAGTTTGGTATGTTGTGTGTTTTTTCTGTTTTCATTTTTCTCAACACTTTCTCATTTGACTTGTGATTTCTTTGATCCATTGGTTATTTGTGAATTTCTCAAATTTCATTCTGCTATGATGAATAATTTCATTCCACTGTGGTTGGAAAACATAGTTTGCATGATTTCAGTCATTTTAGATTGGTTGTGGCTCATTTTGTGGCCTAGCCTCTGTCTGTCCTGGTGAATATTCAGTGTACACTTGAGAAGAACGTATGTTTTGTTCTGGTTGGGTTGAGTGTTCTATTGATGTCCTGTCTAGTTTCTTTTTCCTTATGATCTTCTGCCCACTTGTCCATCCATTATAGTTTTTCATCCATTATTGAAAGTACTTTCGGGGAGATCTTGACTCGGCCTCAGATGTTGATTTATGCCAGGTGAAGGGGCACGGTCGGGGTAGATGGCATTTCTCAGGGTCTCAGTGTTCGCTCAGGGTTGTTATACGGTTTCTAGTGACAGAGCCCTACCATGGCTGTCCTGTGCTCCTGTTTCAGCTCCGAGCTCCCAGTGAGCCTCAGCCCCCGGCAGAGGTGCCACAAACGAAAGGGAATGTGCCCGGGAACGGTGAGCCCCAGACGCCAGTCCCCAGTTCTGAGGCGGCTTTGGATTTGAGGAGAGAGGGTGAGAAAGGTAAGTGAAGCTTGGTAGGTAGTTACCTGTTTAAACTCCCGCCAGAGCCCCATTCAAATAAGAGACAGTGGAGTTCAAGCCCTGCACTCAGACACACTCGGTGGGCAGAGCGTGCTGCTGGAGGTCTCAGCGAGCTCGATCGTGGGGCTGCAGGTGGCAGGTGTCTCTGGGCACCTGGAACTGGGGCCGCAGGGCTTCTCTGTCTTGCTGGTCTCATCCCTGTAAAGTAAGTGCCTGTTCTGTGTGAAGGGCCTAGGCTGCGCCTTTATTCAGGACAGGGTGGGGCTGGGGGATCACAGGCGGTAGCTGAGTCCTAGGCACCTGTCAGTGGCTCCCAAGTACTTGTCTCCAACATACAGTGGTCAGATGATCCCAGCAGTGCACCTTCCCCCATCTGTAGGTTGTCACTGTAAACAAGATAACTTAGTCCAGATTTTTTTTTCTAAACTACTTTTCCCTTGCTCCTGGTTCTGAAGATGAATGGCAGGCCCCAGCTCTGACAGGACGGGAGCCTTCTGCTGAGGTCACTAAGCACATGACCCAGCTGCCCCGCCTGTCCTCAGCACCCCACCCACAGTCCTTGGGAGGGCTCTGGGAATCCAGTGGCACGAGGGTTTTGTTTTAATGAAGTTAAATGGCAGGGGGCTTACAGCTAACATTGTTCTGTGCACAGAGGAAACCAATGACATTCAGGTCATCAGCGAGGAGGCGCTTCGGAGGGACAGCCAGGCGCTGCCACAGGAGCCAGACCACGAGCAGGCTGTGGAAGCAGACAGACATGCGGGCGGAAGAGGCACGGGAGATGCTAGAGACCCCGGCCAAACCGCACAGGTGCCAGCCACCCTGCTGATGAGCCAGGAAAATCAGGAGGTGGAGGAGCCTGAGCGGGACCAGCTTGTGGTCCGGGATGGGCAGGAGGAGGAGCAGGATGCTGACGAGGAAGGTGGGTGAGAGGCTCTGTGGGCTGCCCGCTGACACGGGCAGGGTCCCCCTGAAGTTTACCAAACAGCAGCCCGTGATCAGATGGTTCATTTTGCTTATTCAGTATCCGTTATCAAGTAGGAGGCAGGAGGGAAGAGCAGTACACTCCCTGGCACCTGGAATTTTCAGAAATAATATTCACAGGGAGCGAGGGGGCTTTTCAGGTGGGAGACCTTGATGGTGTTTAAGCATCAGGTAAAAGGCCTCCTGGTGGGCAGCCCACATGCCTTGTCTATCTCTGCACTTCAGCACCCAGAGTCACCAGTTAGTACCTGGTGAGGAGTGAGTGTCTGTGTGTAGCGGGGGGGGGGGGGGGGGGGGGGGGTGGGGGGGGGATAGACAGCAGAAGAGAAGGAAGGAGGGAAGGAAGTTAGTTTGCCAAAAAGGGACACATGAATCTCACCTTTCTGGTTTTGGTTTATTAAAGATGTGAAAAATTTCAATCCCAGCTGCCAGGAGCACTTAAATAGAAGGCACCTGTGCTCTGGGAGTGACCAAGGAACAGAAGTTGGGGAATGTGCTTATTACAGAAGTTATCCTGAGTCCATTTAAATCTAATTTTCACTCAAGTTTCTCTTTCTGAAGAATATGTCCTCACAAGTTCTCCATTGGAGAATTGAAGCAATAAAACTCAGGTGGCTGATTCAGTCGGTGGCTGTCCCCTAGCAGCTGGTCACAACGTGTAACGGCCACCAGGGGGCGCGCTACTATAGGACATGAGGATGATCTACTTAGTGGAATGAAGCTACAGGGCACACTGGCCTGTGCTTCATGTTCACGTCAGGCAGCAAGCGCAGAGAAATATAACTAGAGCTGACTTTTCCAGGTGTGCTTAAAAAAATTTACTTACTATATACATATATGCCATGTTTAGGTTAAATTCTGTGACTGTGTCTGTGGAATGCATTGTGTCCTGATCTTCTTTTCCAGGGATGGATGTAGTGATGAATGATGGAATTCTGTAGGTCTGATGGGAAATTTTATCCTTTGGCTCACAGCAGCCACTCGTTTCCTCCTTTTGGAGCAATGAGCTACTCTAAGGAGATGTCATTATTTATATAATAAAAGCATAATATGCTAATCAGACTGGACAGCTGAACGACCTTCTGGACGAAGCCAGGGCTTCGAGGGCCAAGCGTCTTGCACAAATTTCGTGCATCGGGCCTCTAGTTAATTAGAAACCTGTTGTTTCCAAAAACAGTGGAAACAACCTTGAGTTGATTGTCTCTTTAAAAAACTGGGATTTGGGTTCAGCTAGGTAGGTAGTTCCCCCATTTTATATAGACTCAGAGTCAAAGTGGAATACGTGAATAGAGAACTCCTATGCGGTGTGTGTACTGGCAGCAAATACACGAGTCCCTGTCAGTTCTGAGATGGGGCAAAAAGATCTGTCGGTGAAACCATGGTTGGAAGAAGAACCCAGTGTCTGGGCTCTGTTGTGTCTGTGGCACCAAGAGAAATGATGGAGTTTCTGTTTTATGTGTTGTCTGTGCTGTTTCAGGGAGAAACGAGCAAAAAGTGGGAGGAGATGATGACTACAACATGGATGAAAATGAGGCAGAATCTGAAACAGACAAGCAGGCAGCCCTTGCAGGGAATGACAGGAACGTGAACGGTAATGACTGTGGTGGGGTCGCCTCGTTCTAGGCGCAGTTGTGACGCTCTACTCTGTGGTCCTTCACCACGGAGGTGGCTGTACAGCGAATCCCAGCAGTAGCATAAGTGATCTGTCGCTGAAGACTTTTCTTCAGAAGCCTTCGAATTAGGGGCCAGGAGGGAGGTGCAGGGCTGAGGAGCGTGTTCATGGGGCTCCAGCCCTCGGGAGTCAGCTGGAGGATGGGTCTTCAGCGACAGTTAGGGATTTCCCAACAAAACGGCCAGGTCACTGCTGATTACTCTGTAGCACCAATCAAAAAGCCGTGTTACAGTGCACAGCGCTTTCAGGCAGCTTTTTATAGTAGCGTTTTGTAATTTTACGATATTGAATTTTTGGAGAGTCTAGTCCAGTGGGATGGATCAGGTCTGGGTGTGTCCGTTTTGCTGTGATTGGATTCAGGTTGGGCGTTTTTGCAGCTGCCTTGCATTCCTCTTGCGCCACACCAGGAGGCACGGATGGCAGGCTGGCGGCTTGGTGAAGGCAGTGCGCACCAGGTCTCTCCCTTGCCAAAGTCCACTTTCCATAGAACTAATAATGTCATCTAGAATGGGACCCCTTTTTCCATTTTTGAGATAGAATTGACATACAACACTGTGTTTAGGTTGTACAGCCTAATGAGTTGGCATGTATATTGTGGAGTGATTACTACAGTAACCATTACTACAGTAAGTTTAATTCACATCCCTGCGTCTCATAGGGATACAAAGTATATTTTTTTCCTTGTGATGAGAATACTTAGGATCCACGCTCTTAACAACTTTCATACGTATCATAAGGCACTGTTAATCACTTCCATCATATTGTACATTCCATCCCCATGGGGGCAGGGGTCCTTTGCAATGGTTTGGCTTTATCATCCATTGGAACCCCTTGTCTAATGGTGACTTTTCTGATCCTGTCACCCTCACAGGTATTAGCTGTCATGTTGTTGTTTTTTAATTTTTTTTTTTAAATATATTTTATTGATTTTTTACAGAGAGGAAGGGAGAGAGATAGAGAGTTAGAAACATCGATGAGAGAGAAACATCGATCAGCCACCTTCTGCACATCTCCCACTGGGGATGTGCCCGCAACCCAGGTACATGCCCTTGACCGGAATCGAACCTGGGACCCCTCAGTCCACAGGCCGACGCTCTATCCACTGAGCCAAACCGGCCTCGGCGTTTTTTAATTTTTAAAATTGATTTAGAGAGGAATGGAGAGAAACATTGATGTCAGAGAGAAATATCAGTTGGTTGCCTCGTCCACATGCTTCAGCTGGGGATCGAACCCACAGCCTAGGTATGTGCCCTGACTGGGAATTGAACCTTTTGGTGTACAGGATGATGCTCTAACCACCTGAGCCACCCAGCCATGACTAGCTGCCATTCTTTAGGGACCTCCCTACCCCAACACACACTCATACACTCACACATATTGATTGGTTTTAATATCATTATGAACTTATGATTTCCTTTTAAATTTTTATTTTTTCAGATTCTTGGTGTTTTAATTCTGTTTTTAAGACTCTCTATATGCTGGAGACATTGCTCCTTATCTGTGAAGTTGCAGATACCTTCTCCTAGTTTGTCTTGATTTTGCCTCTGGTGTATTTTTGCCATGCACAAGTTTCTACAATTTTTCTCTTTTATTGCCTCTGGGAGTTGGAAGGAATTTACCCGTGTTTTCATTTAGTAGGCTTACAAAATTTTCCTGTTAGGAAGTAAAACAGATTCAGAAAAACCACATAAAGCAAAGGAGATTTTAGAAGATGAACACCTTGTAACCACCCTCCACCCTGTCAAGAAATAGAATGTGGCCTGCCCTCCAGAAGCCCCTCCCTATTCCCTGCCCCAGGCCCAGCACCTTCCCTCCCTGTAGTAGCAACCCCTCTCCTGACCCATCTAGTAGGCATTTTCTTACATTTCTTTGTGGGTTTATCACCCAGGTGGGCATCCCTGGACACCATAGTTTAGTCTTGCCTATTTTCCTAAATTTAATATGTTCTTTAACCAGTAAGTCCCTGGGGCTCCTTCCCCTTTTCTTCTCTGTAGTCTGTTAAAGAGCCAAAGCCAGTTGACTTGGAGTTTTCCGAAGTCTGGATAGTGCAGTTTACTATGTTGTTCTTTTACCTCCTGCAAACCAGTCTTGATAAGACTCAGGTTCTGGTCAAGCCTTTGGTAAGATGACAGTTATGTTCTTTCACCAGGAGGAACGTAATGTCTGGTGGCTCTCTTTTTGTGATACAAGCAGCAGTTGATGCTTAGTGCCTTTATTAATTCACTGGGGTTCTTCTAAGTCAGCCATTTCTGTGCAGTAGTTGTAAATCAGGTATGTGTCTTAGGTCTTATTTGTGGCATGTCTTTTGATGTTGTCCATGTGTTCCAAGGACAAAGTAAGGAAGATGGAAGCTACAGTCCATTCCCACTCTGAAAGGGGAGAGCTTTGGAGTGGCGAGAGCTGACCAAAGCTGCCAGTGGCTCTTAGGAGGCATGTGCTTCCTGTTGCAGGTGCACTGACAGAGGTGTTCATGAGGATTGTGACAGCATCAAAATTCTTCTGAGAGTACATTTTATAGGACATGGGACATAATTTCACCATTTCAAATATGGATTTTTCACATGTTTGAGCTTCATTTCATGGCACCTATTGGCCAAACAAGTGGTCTTGTTTGCTATCTTGTCCTATGAGTGCAATTCCCCATTGCAGTGTTGCTATGAGTCTTTATGACAGTTTCTAAATATTTATGTCAATGGGACCTGCCGGGCTGGTTTCTCAAAACATTGAATACTAGAATATTATGGTGTTCTTTTTTTCCTTTTTAGTTCTTAATGCAGAAAATCAGAAAAGAGACGATAAGTTTACTTGATCAGCATGAAAAGAGGAAACCCACAATCAAACTGGAATCACTTCATTTCATGTCAGGACTGAACAGCGATAACTACAAAATATTCGCAAGGGATTGAATACTGTGAAATGTACTAAGTAACATATAGACCTAAAGATGATTATTGTGGAATTTTAGTATGTCACTGGGGGTTACTTTTGAAGCCCCTATATTAAAGATGTTAACATGTGTTGGCTAATAGGTATTTCATGAGAAGATCAACACCAAAAATAGAACACAACTTCTCCAGGATAGCGACAGTGGCACTTACCATCCTGGATCTACCTGTGTTTAAAATAAAATCCACAGGAAGAGTCCATCTTCTGGTGCGAAGGAGAGGCCTGCTGCACGTAAAAAAAAAAAACAACCCCATCTCTTCTTGGTTCCTTCTGGAGTTATTTTCTTTTCCAAATGTGGTGGCAAGTGAGGGCACCAGCCTGTCATTTCTGTTCTCCCTGGTCAGCACTGGATTACGGGTTTCTGCTCTCCTGTGCTCATTCCTGGTTCTGACACTCAGAGGCCTGGAGCACTGACTACTAACACTACTGACAGCATTGTAAACACATTTAAACAACAAGGTGTTTGTGGGAGAATTTTTAACGACCACTTGTATAATAGCCCTTGTTGTTAATGTTAAGTGGCTTCTAATGTGAAAACTGGTGATCTGTACTTACTTTGCTAATGTTTGTAGGCAAAGCAGGATCTCTGTAATGAGTGGGCATCACCAAAAAAGCTATGAGTGGATTAGACTTGACACAACAGGGGCCAGAACAGAGATGACCCAGGTGCCCGAGGGCAAAACAGCACCATGGGGAGGGTTTGTTGTGGACAAACTGCCTACTTTGCTGGAGGAAAAGAGAAAGTTGGTGTTGAACAGTATACTGTTATAAGTTGGGAAATATTAGAAAGGGAAGAGAAATGGCATTGTGTCATAGTTTACATATTTAGCTTGTGGTAAATGCCTATCAAAACTGATTTAAAAATCAAAAGTTAATGTTCATTTGAAAATGACTAATCATAATTTACATTGATAATAGTTTTGGTTTTAGTTGGTCCTTAATATTTCAGGAAAATAGGCTTTTGCCACTTGTGAATAACTGGCAAAACCACACCAATGGCTTTCAATGAGGCTCTCTAAGCAGTTAAGTGGGTGGTGCACTTACTAAAATATATTTGGAGTTACAGGATTGAGATGCAGTCTCCTTGGGTCATTTGGTGGGACTCCCTTGTTTTGAGAGGAAACTGGCCCAGAGGAGTTGGAGCATAACCTGGCCTCACACCCAGGGTGACTAACTGTGTCCCTGGCAGTCACTGAGGCAGCACCTGCTTTGCCTTCAGGTTAAGCTCTACAACTTGGATGTTCTTCATGTATAATTCCCTTTTACCTAATTGCTAAGACTGAACTTTTCCACCCAGAAAAGGCATCTAAGAGTAAGAAAGTAGCTCTATAAGATTTTATCCAAGTCCTTGTCCCACCTCCCTTAGTCTTAGGCTTGATTTCCCAAATAGTTAATTCATCTCATGTTTAGTTAGTGTGCACAGAGTTGCTGAGAAATGAAATACTGTTAGTCCAGCTTTTAAAACTTTCAGTTTTCCTTTCATCCCTTATTTGATCGCTAAAGAACCAGCTTTTAAGTTGTGGAGATGAGATATCAATATAAATAAAAAGTAACCCGTGATGATGATTTCATCTTCATTTACAGAGGCATCAAGGCCATTCCTTTAGGGCAGTGGTTCTCAACCGTGGCTGCACATTAGAATCACCCGGGAATCTTTTTAAAACCCTGATTTCTGGGCCTCATCCTCCGGAAATTCTGTTTCTTTGTTACTAATGTTGTGGCCCCACCCCATAACACAGAAACAGAATTTCCAGAGGATGAGGCCCAGAAATCAGGGTTTTAAAAAGATTCCCGGGTGATTCTAATGTGCAGCCACGGTTGAGAACCACTGCTTTAGGGGGTGTGCCATGCGTGGTTTCTCCAGGCAGTCATGCTTTATTATTACTGGCTTCCTGTGGGATCACAAGCACCTAGCCCGAAGCACAACTTAGTGGTATTATGGCTGTTAAAAAACTAAACACACACCTGTGTAATAAGCATCCAAATTAAAGCAGCAGCTATTCTAATCTGTAATTGGCATCAACTAATTGGCACCTCTCCTCTCTATTCTCAAATGGTGTGTGGGCAGGAAAGATGAATCGTTTTATCTTTTTTCCTGCAGATCAGACTGCAGGTGGAGATTCTAAGCAACCTTGGATTAGATTTAGATTTCCCGAGGAATCTAATCACAGCACACACCTAGTGTGTACTTTTGTGTGATGAAGCTTGAGAAATAAACCTCTCCCTGTTCAGTATGTTGTCATTAAATAACTAGATCATTAACATGATTGTTTTAATTGGTAATTGCTGGTTATCCATTTATAGAACCTGGCATGGTGAAGAGAATTGTGAATTCATGGTCCTGGTGGTTAGTTTTACTACCATTATGTTTTAGCCTAAAAGATTATTAACTACAAATAGTTATTCTAACACTTGTCTTTGAAATGGATTTTAGAAAAATTTTTTAATGGCAGAGGTTCTATTAACTGGGTTCTATTAACTTCCTTTTTGCACATATTAGCTTAGATGTTGAAAATGTTCATTAGTGCCTGAAAGTTGGGAAAAGTTTATTTTGATTGTGTATTTAAATGTTTGTTTGTATGCTATTTCTCAGCTCAGAGAGCAACACTTTCTTAAAGTGTACTAAGCCACTGTTCCTTAAAAACTGGTTTGTAAAATTCTGATAATGTATACACTGTAAGATTATTCTAAAATACATATCTTCCCATGCACTTAACACACACACAACTGAAAGGCTTTAATCTCATTGGTGTGCATCTCTGGGAAAAGTTAACTGGCTTTTGATACTATCTTTATACACTTCAGATAATGGGTTTTACAAACCAAGGCCCTAATCAATTGAGACAAATGCTTATTTTCTATTCTTACTCCTGAACTGAGTGACATTGAACATAAGTTGCCAATATAATTTATACCCCTGGAGATTCTAGTCCTATGCTGGGTGCTTAGTAAATCTTTTACTCTTAAGTCCAAATAAATGATTGTGATTGATCAGAGATGTCCTAGATAGATAACCTACTTTTCATATTAACTGAAAGTTGCCTGTTAGAAACATTTAAATGAATAGATGGCTTTTTGTATGAATGTTAAACACATGGGAATTAAGATGAAAACCCACTTGGCTGTAAGAGGTAAGCCAGAGTCTGTGTTGGTAGCTTGCTTCTTACTAATTTGTCTCTGAAAACTGTAGTGAACGACAGTGATGGAACCTCCTGGGTGATGTGCCATATCTGCCTTTATCCAGAATTTAAGTTCACATTTAAATAGTCACCTCAACATTTTCACTCTCTCTCCAAAAAAGCTGCTGTATTATCAACACTGAACATTTTTGTACCATTTAAAAAAGTAGTTCTGTGATTTCAACCAGCAGCCTACAACTGACAGGGTTGTTTTTTTTGTTTGTTTTCCTGTAAAGGACAATCTTGCTCTGGTTTTTGAGATAGGCTCATTACAAAATTATTCTAGAACTCAACAGATGACATATCTGTGATCAAAACAAAGTACAACACCTTCCTTTAAGCTTGGCTTAATGTTTGAATTGTAGACAGAAGGTTTCAGAGTTGTGTAATAACTTTACATGATCCTCCAAAAGCAGATAAATTCTCTTCTTAAATGGAAGGCATTATTAGCAGAGGACTACAGGAAAAAAACCTTATCTTTCTGGTCAGTATCTCAGGTCATTTCATCTCTTCAAAATCAATTTTAAAACTCTTTGGGCAGCTGTAGGATGACACAAATATTCAGTCATCTCAAGTTTTATTTTATGGCTCCTTATAAGCAAAAGCAACCAGTTCTGATTCCCTACTCTCAAGATTTGGATGTATCTGATATACCAACTTGTGTGCTTGGATTGATTTGTAAATACCCGACAAATGAATCAACTTTTATCAGCTGAAGCAAACTGTTTAAGTGCAAGGACCAGACTCCAACTTGCTACTCCAAATTCCTCTGACCTTTTATCCGTCCTGTTCCCACCATCAGTGTTTCTTTTACTAAAAAAAGGCAGTCAACCTACTGCCCTAGTGACCTTTTTTACCTTCTCTACTCAGTTTACCCCAGAATAGCTCAATGCCACATTTAAAAATTCCATATTCCATTAATTGAATGAGCAGGTTCTAGAAAGATTGTCACTTTCCTCAAGCTTATACTACAGTTGGGAAGATAGGAACAACTATTTAAATTACAACTGAAAGTGCTAAGTACTTTTAAGGGGCTTGGCCTAAGCTTTAATCTTCTAAAAGTACCAAAGTAATAGTTAAAGACATTTTTAAAAACATCTACATTCTTACAGGTATATAATTTAATGTCATGACATGGAATCATAATGCCCATATAATAGCCTCCCTACATAGCTTAGACTAGGCCCCGTTCAAATGTATTTTGCCTAAATCACTTGATTTGAAACATCTTTTAGATAAGTTGTTTCAATTACTCAAATGTTAAAGAGTAAACACCTTCAGCTCTTATCTCCAGTAATACATTTTGGTCAAATTTATTTACCTTTACAAACACTATTTTCACTCAGTCATTCATAAAAAATGATTTATGATTAAATCTGTAATAAGACCATATAACGTTCATCAATGCATTCAACAACATCAGTTTCATCCACGGACATAATAAACCACTTTAAAACAGCAGTTTTCATTCACATCATATAAGGCTGCCAAATTAAAAGAATTCCTTATAATGGGTGGTTATCCAAGAAATCCATTTCACTTCATGTTATATGGTAAGACTGATGGGTGGGTCCTAAAAAGTAGAATCTGAAAGTAGATTTTACCCCTTTATCGTCACCTGTCAGTCTCAAACAAGTTTCACAACAGGAAAATATTTGTGAGCAGAGAAATCAAATTCAGGAGGAACCTGTAAAGAAAAATCAGAAAGTCAAATGTACCTAATAAATATTTAGACAGTAAACAAATATTTTTTAGAGTATTTTTAAAGACAAGGCAGTACAAGGGAGATTTTTAAAAAGCTGGTTAAATAGCAAAAAACTAAGAAACTAACCTGGGTTTATGAAGATCACTAGAAAACAAGCTGACATCTATCTTTAGAGAATAGTTAAAGGAAAATGGACTTAAAATACAGGAAGAAGTCATGGGTCAGCAAATTTTTTAGTTCCAGGGTCACTGATAGTACTCAGCAATTACATGAGAGTCACTGGTAAAGCCAGGCAGGAGAGGAGATAGAAAAACAATGGGAGTAAACAAATAGCAGTACATATAATGGGCAGATGCCACCGCAAATGCTTCAGTGGTTGGCTTCCAACGGGATGCAGAACCTCTGTGTTGAGTATTTACATAGCATTGATGATAAAATATTACCAAGGAAGCATACATCTCCTGAACCATTAAAAATATCTTATTAAAGCATCCATTTCTAAAGACTTTTTAAATACCTCTCCCATATATGTATGTATACACATTTTCTTTTTTTTATCCCAAGTCATCCAGTAATTTGCAGAGTGGGAATAGGGGAATGAAAAGGCAGACTTGAAATTTTAAGTTAACAGAACCTATGTTTCAAGTCAAAAGGGCAAGCTCTAGTCTATTTTCTTTTTCCTACTTCTGATCCTTTTTTGAGTGCTTAATTTTTTTAAAATGAAACACCTTATTGAAAAAAGTGAAGTTCTATGATAATTTAGGATCATTTATTTTCCCCACAATGTTCTTACCTTAGATTCCTTTTTGTGTCCTCCTGCCAGTAACTTCATAACCACAAAATTGGGTTTGGCAACCTTTAAAATTCTATTGACCTAAACAATGAGCAACATTAAGCTATTAAAACAAAATTTACAATCAAAATGTCTTAATATTATAGATACTAATAGGAACTTCGCACATTTAAGTGTTGATACTTTATTAAATATAGGCAATTTAAAAATAGATTTCTTTTAGTAACACAGAATCCTATTTTAGTCAACTCTGAAAACATCAAAGGGCTACTGTAGCTTGCTCTTATTAGAACAAAAGAACACTGAGCTGCAAAGACAACACCATGGAGGGGGCCATGGACTCGAGTTAGGCTGTCTGCTTACAAATTCTAGCTTTGCTGTTTACTAGCTATGAAATCCCTGGCAAGGTCTCTACTTCTCTTCCTCAGTTTCTTTACCTGTGAAAATGGGGATAATTTTCCCTATCCCGCCAGGATCTGTTGTAAAGATTAAATGAGTTCATTTATATTATGACCTGAAAACCAGGCCTCACAGGTAGTAAGTATCCTGTACGTTGTTATTTCTATCACTGTCTAAAAAGCGTCACGCCAACACATGAATACCAATGGGATGTGCAACTTGAAGGAAAAAGTTCTGTCACCATCTTGCTGACCCCTCAGGAAACACACTTCACTATAACTTTAAGAAACACTCCTCAGCTCCAAATCACACAGCCACCTGCCCTGGTGACAGCTCCATTTAGGTGGCGTGTCCAAAACAGCTCAACTCCCAGCTCTGCCACCCCGCCTGCTCCACCTGCATCTTCCTCATATAACTCCATCCATCCAGGTGTTCAGGCCAAAAACTTTGGAGTCATCCTTGACTCCATATCCAATCCATCAACCAACTCTGCAGGCTTGACCTTAAAATACATAGAGAACACGATCACTTCTGATCACCTCCACTGTCATCACCAGCTCTCACCCGGGATACTGCTGGGGCCTACTACCTGGCTCCCCTGCTTCTGCTGGCCCCCCTATAGTCTATTTTCAGCCAAGTGACCACAATGATCCTTTGAACACAGACCTGGTCACTCCTCTGTTTGAAACCCTCTAACAACTCACCCCTTGTTTGCCCCTTGAAGAACATCAGTCCTTGGCTGTTCTTTAAATACTACAGGCACACTCCTGCCTCATCACACCTTTACACACGCGGATCCCACTGCCTAGAAGGCTCCATCCCTACCTGGCCACATGATTTGCTTCTTCACCTTCCAGGATTTGCTCAAAGGCCACCTTATTAAAAAATGCCTCACCTCCTCTTCCTCTTATCTCCTGTAGCAGTCACTATCCCATTCCTAGCCTGATTTTTTCTTCATAATACTTAGGATCTAATATACTATTTTACTTATCTTTTCATTTATTTACTTATTGTCTGCAACCCACCACTCTCCTCAACACAGGAGGGCTGGGATTTTTGTCCCTTTTTCACTATTGGAATCTACCACAGTGTCGGAGGCATAGGAGGCACTAAGGAAATACTTGAATAAGTGAAGTCCACTACTAGTAAAATAAATAGGCTGTTTTTTATTATAGGTACCTTCCTCTAATTTTTATACTTCCCCCCCTTTTTTATTACATCATTATACTAGTATGTGAATTAAAAAAAGTTTTCTCCTTTCCATTCCTGTTCCCTGACACTCCCTCTCAAGAAGCACACACTGTTATTCTAATTTCTATTATCTTTCCAGAAGTATTATATAATACTTGCCCCTTTTGACTGAAATGGCAACATACTATATAGTTTACTACCTTGCCTTTTAAACTTCTTGTATTCTAAAGAATGTTCCATTACAGTGCATAAAGGTCTTCCTTGTCCTTTCAAAAGCTGCACAATATTTCATTGTATGACGTCTGTTAAGTTACTTTACAGTCCCCTGTTGGAGAACACTACTTCCTTCATTTTCTTGCTATTAGAAATCCTGCTGTGATGAATACTCTTGTATATTCGTCACTTCCCTTACTTTCCACATGTGCACATGTATCTGTAGAAAAACCCTAAGAAGTAGAACTGCTGAGCTACCTTTCCATGGAGGTTGTACTGAGATATACTCCCCGCAAATGGTGTATGATACAGGTAACTCATTTTACAGAAGAAATGCATTTCAATAAAAGTAGGTATACAGCGAATTGTGAAAATTATGAAAACCTGAAACTTAATATGTACAACCTCTGTAAAATGGTATTTTAAAATAAAGTCATCAAAAACAATAGTCTTTATTTTATATGGTCAAGGGGATAAGGTGGTTTTCACTTCCTGTGATAACCAGATCATTTTTCAGATTTAAGATTTATGTGATTATATTTGAATATAGTAAACTACAGCTTAAAATATTTTAAACATTAACATTTCTAACAAGCCAGATCTTATTTCTATTCTTCACAGCTCTAACTCATAATTTCTCCTTGCATTGATTTCTAAATTTACCCATAGGAGGTATTTACATCACCTCTCATCAAATAATTTTAAGTCTGACAAGGTTAGGTTAAGAAAGCCATTTGAAATCCAGGGCAGAAACATGACAGGCTTCCTTTATGAATACCATGAAGTTCACTTTTACACTTAAACTGTTATCAGTGGTAAGGTTTGTGCTCCCCACCAGTCTTTCCCTGTGGAGTCACCAAGACTGAGCCTTACCTCGTGGTCAGGGTTCGGGAGGTTCTCCAGGATCATTTTGGCCTGCTGGAAGTGTTTGCTAGCTGCCACATACAGTTCTGGAGACTGGGGGGGAGGGCTGTATTTATTGAGGTCAGACATTTCCTAAAGGGGGAAACACTATTATTCAAAACATGTTTAATATGAACAACTCTAAAAAAAACCTGTTTAAATTAAAGAATTCTACACTGACTATCCATTCCTATATACACACCTAAGCAAACACTCAGCATGTCCCTATTTTTTCCTAGGTAATACTAAATTCTTAACCTTCAAATACTGCCTCATATTATTCTCATTCTTAAATAAATGTTAAACATGATAGTATCCCAAAAAAGCCAATTAATTTTGACACTATTTAAATTGCCATTTTCTTACTCTGTCCCATTAGTCCAACAACAGTCTGATTTTAGTATTTTAACGAAGTGGCTCGGTACAAACATCTCTAAGACCTAAGACTAAATATTTTACAGTGACTTTAGTGAGCAGGTTCACCTTGAACTGCAGATAGTGTACTGGGGGTGGTGTCATTACGCTGTTGAATGGAGCAAATCTGTGCTCATATCGAACTTGTTCACTATCAAGCTCAAACTTGGGTTTTCGTACTTTGCCATCCATGTCAAATGCTACCATGGTCTACAGGAAAAAAGAGAATGAGGAAATATATATCAATATGAAAAAGTAAACATTCTCATAAATTCAGAATAGAAAACAAGAAACAACTATTTACAGATATCTAAAACAACTTAAGGCTCAGAAATCAGAAACAGGAAGAGAAAAACTGGCTTTAGTGTTTACTTTTATGTCATGTGTCTTTACTTTTTATTTTTTAAAAAATATATATTTTATTAATTTTTTACAGAGAGGAAGGGACAGGGATAGAGAGTTAGAAACATCGATCAGCTGCCTCCTGCACACTCCCTACTGGGAATGTGCCCACAACCAAGGTACATGCCCTTGACCGGAATCGAACCTGGGACCCTTCAGTCCGCAGGCCGATGCCCTATCCACTGAGCCAAACCGGTTAGGGCTCATGTGTCATCTTTAATAGGTTTTCAAGGCCTAGTGTTGATATTACTATTTTTCCCAGTGAAATTATACCATATGCACATTATTTTCCCATGCTTCATGCTTTACAATAGCTTTGGAAGCTTCAAGTAAAAGTTTCTGAAGAAACATGTAGGCATATAAATTTTTATAAGAAAAGGAGTCCATGTTCTATATATTTTAATGTGTTACCAATAAAGTTAGGACTCAGTACTCACTCCACCTCCTTGAAAATGCCTGCGTTTGCTTAAGCCATTCATTGTGGAGCCCGCCCCTTTCCTAATACACCCCTAAAAGATCCAAACCCCATCTCTTTCAAGAAACCTTTGCTGATCATCAATCAGAAGTAAACTCTTCCTTCTCTGATTATCTGTGTCACACAAGTCACCTGGCCTGTCATTAATAAGGATCTGAGACAAGGATCACATCTGATTAGAGTTGGTATTCTGCAAGGTATTCAGTACAAGATACCTGGCATAACATGGGCTCAAATATTTGGTAAACAACTCAATGAAAACAACTAGACTTGGAAAAAAGGTTTCAAGCAGATGTTTAACATAGGTGAAATTAGAACCTGGAAAAAATCAGAGTCAATTTGAACTAAACTACATGATAGCAGTGTAGTTAAAAAGCAAAAAGAACTCTATTTTCAACAACTTACCTTAAACATTCCAGCACACATGTTCTGATAGGCCTGGCTCATTGTGATTTCTCGGCTCAAAGGGCGAACTGAAATTAGAAGGAAAATCACCTGTACTCTTCACCTTCCTCTTGCATTACTGCAGGAGAAAATCTAATTTTTTAAAAATCTTCCATGTTTACTAAATTAAAATTTTGAATAGTTTGTTCCTACAGGCTACATTTTATTTTATGGTCCAAAACTACAAATAATAAAACATAACTTAAAGACTACATAAAAATTATGCTCCTTGAATGGTTAATACTAAAGAATTCTAAAGTAATTTGAACTTCTGAATTCGTCATATAGAGATTTAACGTGTTTTTTTCTATATGTAATATGGTATGTTTAGTCCCAAATGCTGTGATAAATGATGTTTCTTTTTTAATTTTTATTTTTCAATTACAGTTTATGTTCAAAGTTATGTTGTATTAGTTGCCTGTGTATAGCATAGTGGTTAGACAATCATATACTTTACAGAGTTCTCCCCATATTTCCAGTACCCACCTGGCACCACACATAGTTAAGAGACTTCTTAAAGAAGAAACCCATGAACCGTCATTTAATAGCCCACCCAAACTGTTAAAATCTGATGGAAATACAAAGAAATATTTTGTAACGATTGTAGCAATATCTGTACCCTTCCACTAGTCACTAGTGACTAATGAGACAGTCCCTTTGGAACAGTTCTTTCTCCTCATGGTCCCTGAGTGTTGTGCCAAGGTGCTAGTTATCCTGTGCTGACTCTAAGAGCACAGCTCCAGATCTGCCTCTCTCCTGAGCTGCCAGCCTTCTGTCCAAAGATCAGAGACCTGCTGTCTTGCGCCTTAACTAAATTGCTTGCATGGTCTATGTGCTACTTCTTGTCCTAAGGTCCTCTGACATATGGAATTGCAAAGAAAGGAACCAAAAAGCCTTGTATCATTAATTTTGGGACTCTTTTTCTTATACTTCTAAAGAGAAGATGAGAATTAAAATATTATGACTAAGTCACCCATTACAAGGGACAGAAGTGTCTCCAATATTATTTATTTCTTAAGTTTAGAAATAATCCACAGCACCTTTCTTCTTTTTCTTTGTCTTTTTACTGCTACGGCCCTTCTGCTGCTCTTCCATTATCCGTTCCTCTGCCATTTGAGAGCCATCAGCACGACTTAATGTCGACATCAACCATGCATAAAGGAATTCAGACAGATACCTTATAGAATAAAAATGTTAGTTAACAGTGGGTGTCTAAATGAGATAGCTTTATCAACACATGTATTAATACTGATAAAGAGATATTTTTCATAATGCTAAAAAAGTCTTTTAAAAATAGGTTATCCAATTAGATAATTGATAGATCTTAGGTCAGATCAATTAGATTAGAAATCAGCATTACAAGTAATTAACTTTCCGTTTCTTGTAGCCATCTATGTTGCCACACAATACTGGAAAATTTCGTTAATTCCCTACAACAACATGCGTTTTACAACTTTACAAAAGATTTCTTGATAATGATGTGTATATGTAAATCGAATTAATGCCCATTACATTGGTTTTACTGTATCAGGACACGTTCACCTCAATCTATTAAATTTTTCCCCCCCGTTAATTACAAAAGAAAGCAAGTAAGTCCAAGCCAAGAGCACAAAAGCTTCTAATCAGCTACCTCAAACCACAAAGAACTTGAGCATTTTCTCCTATAAACTGTCTTGTCTACTATGAGTTAACAAAATGTAACCCAAATATCTATACCAAGACCTTTTGGTAAGAGTTATCTATTGAAATGTTGGAGAATATACTAAATAATTTTTTTCTCATATCACTATAGTTGATGCTCAAATTTAATTTTCATAGTCAAGAGCTTTCTATTAAAGAATGCTTAGCAACATGATAAAAAACCTATGTCAACTGCATGGAAGAGAATTACTTTCATTCCTTCATAGAGTTACTCCAAGGAATATACAGTATCTTAATTACAAATAAAATAATCTGAATGAGTTAAAAAGATGAACTATATTAAGATTTAATATACTAAACTTAGTTGTTTGTGATGAGCAGTAATAGATTATTATTATTTAAAAATTACCACACAATTTGCCAGACTAAGAAAAAGATTTAAGATGACTCAATTCATTAGCTCACAATTTTCTCTCTTTTTCCAGCCCCTCTTGTGTCCAGAACATGAACCGGCATGGGCACAGACCAAAAGCCAAGCTGGGATAAACAAGGAGTGACTTTGTCCCTGGCTGAAATTCATTTTATTCTATGACAGTTTTTCCATGCCTAAAATATTCTCAAGCATTCTCTTACTAGCTTTTGTTATCTCTAAGTGAAAGCAGAGAACTACTCTGTTGAGATCATCTCTCATCAGCTTCTTTAAACCACCTGAAACAAGTCCTCAGGGATGCAGTTTGCAAATGATAACCTCAGCCTCAATTTCTTCTCAGAAGAATGATCTGGTTCAAATTTTGAACTTTAATTCCGATAAGTATAATACATAGCCAGTAGCAACCAGCATCACTGAAATTAGGCCAAAATGTGTATTATTTTTTTCCCTTAGAAACAGATAAGCGCTCTTCCAATTGTCCCACAGCTAAAATTAAAATACACAAATGAAAAAAGTACCCTAAAATTATATTCTACAGATGCTCTCTCAGATCTTTCCTATCCCACCCACTTACCAATATATGTAGTAGTACTCGTGCATGCTGTAGAGCTCCAATTCAAAGCCACTGAGAAGATACTGTATCATAATTCTGAGGTTATGGTAAAGGACCCAGGTACCTAAACAGGCCAAATGTTGCCTTTGGGGTTCCTGTTTCAACAGCATGGTGTGAAGAGCCGCATCAACCTTCTCTGCCTATCAGAATAAAATATCGTAATACTTCCTTTTTAAGTAAAGAGAGAATTTAAAATAAACAGCTAAAAACAGCATGAGCAGAAAATGAAAATCTTGCCACTAAAAGAACTCATACTTACAAAAGTAGTTTTGGTTAAGTTTATATCCAAACTTTTCATTTCACAATGGATAACATTTAGCTAAATAGTCCTTTAAGCTAAAAAGACATCCAATAGGCCAAAAATAAAAGTAATTGATTTCAGGTCTTTAGTTATATTTTCAATTAATATTGCTGCTGCTCACAAATTTACTCTAAGATTAATATGTAATACATTTTTATGTTAATGTGAACTTGCTATAAAATTATAGTTATACATATATTTTATAGCTTATCCTGATTACCAAATAATTCAGCTTTAATTATTCTGTTTCTTTTAAAAAACATATAAATATCTTTTTGATTTCAGAGAGGAAGAGAAAGAGACAGAAACATCACTGATGAGAGAGAATCACTGATTGGCTGCCTCCTGCACATCCCCTATCGGGGATCAAGCCTGCAACCCCGGCATGTGCCCTGACGAGGAATTGAACCATGACCTCCTGCATAAATGGATGCTCTACCACTGAGTCACTGTGGCCTGGGCTTGCTGTGTTACTTTCTGCAAACTCTTACTTTGGCATATGAAACTGTTACATTGTAAGTGAAAAGAGAATTCACCATAGTGAAAAATGAAATAGTCAAAATACTGTTCCAAAGAATTGTTTTAAAAGTTTGTTCAAGTCATATGAATTGCTGAATTTTAGAAGGAAGGGTTACTTGTTGGCTCTTACCTCATCCTGCAAGGTAGCAAATTCCTCAAGAATATGACCAAGCTTGTCTCTCTGTCGAGCCCTATTATGCCCATGGATCTGAATAAGACTACAGAAAGGCTGCAACACATTAAAATTTGTTAAACGTCAATATGAAATTTCCTGATAATATAGAAAATTAACATTCCAAGTTTCCAAAATCCGGTTTAAGGAGAAAAAATACTGTGCATATAAGAATCATGCCTATGTGTATTTTTACACAGGTGTTTTTGAGGAACTCAACACCAGGATTTATCAATAGCTAGAAGAAAGTGGCTATTTATGAAACTTGTTTGCATATGACAAAAATATCTTCCTTTAATCTTCAGATATCATCCCACAATTTAAAGAGGGGTTTCTTTTGTGCTTATTTCAAGGCAAAAGGCACTGTTCAAGGCTGACACATCTGTGCTGCTTTAAATATACCAGAATGCCTAATAATTATAATACTTGGTAATGGCTAATAACTATAAACTCTAAGTTGTTCTGTTCCTAATCTATACAGTAGCCTATATAATAAAAAGCTAATATGCAAATCAACTGGACCACGGAACAACCGGTCACTATGATGCGCACTGCAGACGCTCAACGCAGGAGCTGCCCCCTGGTGGTCATTGTGCTCCCACAGGGGGAGCGCCACTCAGCCAGAAGCCAGGCTCACAGCTAGCGAGCGCAGCGGTGGCAGTGGGAGCCTCTCTCGCTTCTGTGGCAGTGCTAAGGATCCCTCGGGGGATGTCCGTCTGCTGGCTTAGGCCCACTCTGAAGAGGGCACAGGCCGGGCTGAGAGACCCCCCCCCCCCCCCAGTGCATGAATGTCATGCACCGGGCCTCTAGGCCTATATAATAAAAGCCTAATATGCAAATTGTCCTCTCGACCAGGAGTTCAACTGGGGGTAGGGCCAGCTGGCCAACGGCCCGTGACCCCTCACCCTGGCTGGCTCCCCCTCCCTGATTGGGGGTGGAGCCGGCCAGCAGCCAATCTCCCATGTCCCCTTCTCCCAGCCAGCCCAGCCTGATTGGCCTGGGCCAGCCGGACCCCACCTGTGCATGAATTCATGCACTGGGCCTCTAGTTCTCATATAAAATACTGTAACATTTCACTAATTGGGCAACAGACATGAACAGTAGGATGCTCTGATTTAAGAAGTATGAATCATAAGATTCAAGTATAATATTATTTTAATATGGTATACTTTGACAGATTATCTCATTTGATCACTAACTAGTCTATCCTCTTAAGAGGTATAGAGGCAGAATTAACATTGCACATTTTAAAAATCGGGAAATTTATACAAAAGTAAAGTGACCTCCCTGATAATGACAAAATATTAGTGATAAAAATGAAATCTGGTCTCTTTTGATCATACCATGCTGTCTTCATATATGTATATGTGTGTGTGTGTGTGTGTGGTTTAGTAATTGGAATTACTAAAAAGAGCTCTCTATAAAGAGATTGTAATTAAATAAGAATGGCTTATAATAAACTTAATCCACCACAAGAGTTGTAAGTTTTCCTAATTCCTTGAGATTTGAAAGAAGTTTCTGATATCATCTAAATTAATAATTTTACTGTAATCCTGTTCATTAAGATAGTATGAGGATATGTGCCTGGGGATGTTACAAATATGCCTAGTTTATAAGGTCAAAAATAAGTAAAGATTTTGTGTCTATTTAAAAAACACACCAAAAAACAATGTGGACTGCTGTTTTCCCAGATGGGGGTAATAACCCGTTTCTGTGGTTCCTGAGGGTAGTAGTAAGAGGGCATGAAAAGTGCCTCTGTACCTGATAACCTGCCAGGAACACAATAGGTTATGATGCTATCAACTCAAGCACAAGAAGAGATAGAAACTTTCTATGTAGTGAATGTGAATAAGAAATATTAGATGGAAAAATAGCACAAATTAACGCTACTAAAGGAATTATACCCCACAATTTTTAAAGTATCCATCACAACGTTCCAAACTGTAGTTCTTACCCGAACACAGTGAGTAACAAAGGAATCAATACAATCCTTAGCCTGGTGATTATTATATAGGCAGCACCTGTAAGATAATATCCATGTCATGAAACTCAAACTATTTGGGAAATACCATCAGAGATAACTATAGTTTAATAGGAACTAGGTGTGGCAGACAGGGAGGAACCTGGCAAGGTCTGTTCAATCAAAGCCCTTTCTGTGTCCTGTTGTTAAAGATGGCCCAGCAAAACACCTATCAAACATTTGCTTTTCCATCTCCATGTGAATTGCCTTCCTCCTCTGTGAAGTCCCAAAGCTCTACCTCCCTTTCTCCTTATCCTTAGCTCAAGATGGCACATAAAATAATGAGAGAAAGAAACGGAGTATTAGGCCTTGGGGGGCAAAGAGAAGGATGACACTTTTTAAAAAAAGTATGTTTTTATTGATTTCACTGAGAGAAAGGGAGTGGGAGGGAGAGATAGAAAAAGAGAATCATCAATCGGTTGCCTCCTGCATGCCTCTCACTGGGGATCGAGCCCACAACCCAAGCATGTGCCATAACCAGGAATTGAACCGTGATCTCCTGGTTCATGAATCGATATTCAACTACTGTGCCACACCGGCTGAGCAGCTGACTTTTTAAATAGATGGATCAGGGTAGCCCTCACTGAAGTGATACTGAATGGACCTCAAGGTAGTGAGGGGGCCAGGCCAGCCTTGGGAATTTTTGAGGAAAATGTTCTCCACTCCCATCCCTGTGTAAAGACCATGAGAGAAGGTGTATGTTCCAGGAGGAGTAAGGAAACCAGTGTGGCTGAAGGAATGGAGGTGCAGGGAGGGAAGTAAGAGATGAGGTCAGAGAGGCATTATCAGGGGTCTAGAACAGAGCATATGGGGCCTCGAAGGCTCAGTTATAGACGGTGGCTTTTACTGTGAATGAAGTGATGAATATTAATCAGCACCAAGGATGCTTAGGAATTTATTTCCTCCCAGTTAAGAAGCAGTCCTTAAATGAGAGGTGTCTGGGTAAATTCTCAAGTTCCCTTGCCTGAGTAGGACAACTCTGAGGGGTCACCAACACTGTCTCCAGAACTCCCCGACAGGACTGAACCGGAGGAATTACTCTCCATGGAGCACACGTTTGTGTGTAGGCTTTCTTTTTTTTCATGTCCCACTTGCCCAAAAATCTACCGGGTTTTCCTGGGAACACTACAATTACATTTACATGAATCTTTGTCTCACAGTCTGCTTCTGGGGAATCCAAGCTAAGAAAGAAAGCTACTAGAAAGTTCTAAGTGAGATGTGGCATCATTTATTCAAGAAATTGGTTGCTGAACCACTAACTGTTATCTACATATATATATAAAAGCCTAAGCAACCGCCTAACCATCCGGTAGCTATGACGCACACTGACCACTAGGAGGTAAACGCTCAATGCAGGAGCAGAAACCACAGGCATGGAAACATGAAACAGACTGATGAATATCAGAGGAAAGGGGGGGAGGGCGGGAAAAGATTAACCAAAGATCTTATATGCATACTAGAGGCCTAGTGCACAGATTTGGGCACCAGTGGGGTCCCTCAGCCTGGCCTGTGGGGATCAGGCCGAAATTGGCTCTCCGACATTCCCAGAGGGGTCCCAAATTGCGAAAGGGCACAGGCCAGGCCAAGGGACCCCACTGGTGCACGAATCTCATACAACCAGTCTTCATACATACTGGTTTCTTTGTTAAGAAATAGGCTCCTGCCCTAGCCGGTTTGGCTCAGTGGATAGTTTGGCCCACAGACTGAAGGGTCCCGATTTCAATTCTGGTCAAGAGCATGTACATGGTTTGTAGGCATGACGGTCAGCCTTGGTCAGGGGCCATGTGAGAGGCAATTAATTGAACTCTCTCTCTCTCTCTCACACATCGATATTTCTGTCTCTCCCCCTTCCTTCCACTCTTTCTAAAAATCAATGGAAAAATATCCTCAGGTGAGTAATAACAAAAAATAAAAAAATAAAATAGACTCCTTTCTTCCTTCAGCCATGGAAAGTTCTCCTTATTTTCCAAAATACCAACTCAAATGATGATTCCTTCTGCCTGAAATATTTTCCAGCTTCTTATAGCAGCATGTTTTTTGGGGCAGTGACTCTGTCAGAACATAATTTAAGAATCAATTATCTGCATTTTCTATTTCTATCTAGACTCAGCTCATTGAAAATAGACCTTGTTTTTTTTGGTAATTATTTCCCAAAGCACCTAACAGTGCTTTGCACTCAGTAAGGGTCAAATGCAATTTACTGAATTTCTGATAACTCCTTGGAAGTTTTTCTTCTCTTACTGGACCTAATGTCAACTTCATAAAAACCTCAGTTTAAATCTAAACAACATGTATCATAAATCTATTTAACATGATCGAATTTGTTGTTTTTTTTTTGTTTGTTTGTTTTTAAATATATTTTATTGATTTTTTACAGAGAGGAAGGGAGAGAGACAGAGAGTCAGAAACATCAATGAGAGAGAGACATCGATCAGCTGCCTCCTGCACATCCCCCACCAGGGATGTGCCCGCAACCCAGGTACATGCCCCTGACCGGAATCGAACCTGGGACCTTTCAGTCCACAGGCCGATGCTCTATCCACTGAGCCAAACCGGTTCCGGCAAATTTGTTGTTTTTTTATATGGATATTTAATTCCAACAGTTTTAATGCCTTGGTTAAAAAGGAGATGGTCAGGCAATTTGGGCTTAGAATAAACACATAGGGCCCTAGCTGGTTTGGCTCAGTGGACAGAGCACCGGCCTATGGACTGAAGGGTCCCAGTTCAATTCTGGTCAGGGGCACATGCCTGGGCTGTGGGCTTGATCCTCAGTAAGGGGGCATGCAGGAGGCAGCTGATGAATGATTCTCTCTCATCACTGATGTTTCTCCCTTTCCTTTCCTCTCTGAAATCAATAAATGTATATATCTTTATCTATATATCTATCCATAGATATAATTTTTTAAAATCGCCTTCCTTCTTAAAAAAAAAAAATAAAGAAACACATATGTTATAAAACTTCCTATGATACTTACTTTGGGGAAAGCACTGGAGGACTGACAAAAGACCGAAGTGCATCCTTTACCATGTCTTGCATGAGGTGAGTTCCAAAGACCTTTTTGTTATCCACCAAGAAAGTGGTCTTAAAACAAATGTTATATATTAGTAATACTGCCACAAACTTGACCTATTGCACTTATAGCTGCCATTACTGTGACATGAGCATAATTTTTAAAATACCATAAAGTAAAAAGAGATTAAAATATTGAAAGTTGGTGGAAAATTTTTATAATCACTGTCTCCATAAGATATTTATTAATCCCTATTTAAGGTGTATTTGCTGCACGAGAATAAAAGTCTTTCAAGTCAAAAGTAGTAATTGCGAATTGTTCAAATCATAGACTAGTCTACATATGTCAAATGAGCTAATATGTAGGAATGGGCTTCATAAACTGTGTAATAGTAAGTGGCTATACTTATTAAACTAGTCAATAATCTTTATCTCTAATGAATGCTTTGGAATATATACAACCGTTCCAAAATTGGATGAAACAATAGATTAAAAAGTACATTATTAAATTTAAAAGAAAATATTTAATAATAATTTGTATTTAATTTTCTCCCCTCAACCTCAGTGCACTTTAATATTTACTATATTGTACCTAACTTGCTTTCCTAACATCTGGGTTGTTTCCAGTTTTTGGTGATCATGAACCAAACAGTGTAAATATTCACATACAGGTTTCCAAAACATCAGATTCCACTTCTTTAGGGTAAACAAGTAGGAGTGGGATTTGTATATTTCATTTTATAAGAATGTGCCAATTGCTTTCCAAAGTATCTGAAGCACTTCACATTCCCATAAGCATTACATCCTTACAAGCAGTTGATATTCTGTTTTTCTTTCTTAAAAGATATTCTGAAAAGTGGATCGTAGTATTTCATTGCAGTTTAATTTGCATTTCAGTAATATTAATGATGTTAAATATTTTACCATATTGAAGCGTTCAAACATTTTGTTCATTTTAAAAACTGGACTGTTTCTTTATTGTTATGCTTACAGAGTTCTTTATATGTTCTAGATTCCAGTCCTTTGTCTGGCAGTATTTACAAATATTTTCTCCCACTCTGTAGAGGCTCTTTATTTTCTTACGTGTCTTCCACAGAATTACTAGACAGTTTTAAATTTATCAGTTTAAGGATTATGCTTTTAATGTCACATCTGAGCACTCTCTGCCTTCTCTAAAGTCACAGAGACTTCCTCATATCATTTTTTTTAAAAGTCCTATAGTTTCACATTTTACATTTAGGTTTATGATGTATTCTGAGTCAATTTTCCCCCCCATGTGCCTGTCCAATTTGCACCACCTGTTGTAAAAGACTACCATTTCTCTATTGATTTACCTTTGTGCTTGGTCAAAAATTTACCGTATTAATTTTATTTTCATTTTCATTCTAATTTAAGATTTCCTTTTTGATCCATGGGTTCTTTAGACATGTACTAATTTCCAAATATTTAGAGAATTTTCCAGTTATCTTTCTGTTACTGATTACTCATTTAATTCCAAAATAGAGTGCATATTTTATATCATTTTGTTTTAAAATTGAGGTTTATTTTATGGCATGGGTATGATCTTGATGAATATCTAACACTCTAAATCAATGCTTCTAATTAAAAAATGTAACATTAACTGTGGAATATCCTATAGAAAGAAGTATCTACCTTTTGTTCCATCAATCACATAATTTGATGTTTAAATAAGTATTTTCAATACTAAGTGGAACTTACTTGTAATAGAGATCTTGAAAGAACACAAGGTGATTGTTCACTAAACTCACAGAAAAAATCCTAAGAGAGAAACAGAGAAAAAGTAATGTCAATAATGGATTACATAAAAGCAGAAAAACATCTGCAGAGAGAGTGTAATTTTTACTAGAAATAATATCCTACCAGAGTTAGCTAAAGATGTTCTCTAAATTGTCTAATTGTACCAATAACATTTTGGATAATTTTAGAGCCTCAATTTTTTAAAACAAACTGACCAATAATAGTATTGTGTGGATACTCATATTAAATTTGTACACCATAAAAATAATAGTAATAATTTACTAACTAATGACAGAGGTTTACTTCCTACCTCACATAAATAAATACCAAGTAAGTAGGCCAATTGGATTGATCTTACCAAATGACTGTTCCTGACTCTAGGGGAAGACCAAAAGATATGCTCAGAAAACTATAGATGGGTTTATACACAGATAGGAAAAAAGATAAGAAAGACACTGAAGCCTGGCTGGCGTGGCTCAGTGCTTGAGCATCAACCTATGAACCAGGAAGCCACAGTTCAATTCCCGGTCAGGGCACATGCCTGGGTTTCAGGCTTGATCCCTAATGTGGGGTGTGCAGAAAGCAGCCAATTAATGGTTCTCTCTCATTACTGATGTTTCTTGCTCTCTCTCCCTCTCCCTTCCTCTCTGAAATCACATAATTTAAATACAAATATATATTTAAAACAACAACAGCACTGAAATGTTAACATCTGTAGGTTATAAGATAGTGGCTATTTATCATCTTCATATTTTTCTGCATTTTGCTGGGTCAAAGAATGTACATTTTTAAGATTGGAGAGAGATAGCCACCGGAGTACAGTAGAATGACTATTTCCCTTTATCAACATTAAAATGTTATTTTACTTATCAATCTAATTGTTGTAAATTTTTTATATTAAGTTTGAGTATTTTTTTTTTTTTTAAATATATTTTATTGATTTTTTACAGAGAGGAAGGTAGAGAGATAGAGAGTTAGAAACATCGATGAGAGAGAAACATCGATCAGCTGCCTCCTGCACATCTCCTACTGGGGATGTGCCCGCAACCCAGGTACATGCCCTTGACCGGAATCGAACCCGGGACCTTTCAGTCCGCAGGCCGACGCTCTATCCACTGAGCCAAACCAGTTAGGGCAAGTTTGAGTATTTTTAATGTTTATTGCTTTTTAAATGTGTGTGTTTATGTCCTATCCCAATTTTACATTTTGTTGCTTATCTTTATCTTACTGATATGTCCGCATTCTCTATAATCTGGCACTTTATCCTAATAACAGGCTTCTTATGCAGATCCAGCGGACCATTTGGTCCCTTATCCTTCCTCACTTTACTCTTGGCCTCTGCCACACGCCCCACTACCACTATTCTTCTGTCCTAAGCCTTCCAGGGATCCAGACTTTTCTCTGACTAGGCTTTTTCATGTCCAGTGCCAGCAGTTCCCCCAGCTCCATTCTATTATGGTATGTCATTATGCATTCACCCGTCTGACAAGGTAATCCATAATCTCCTGCCAGAATACAAATTCCAACATTTGCATTACACTCTCTTATTCCAATTCACATTGATCTTTTTCTAAAACCCTACAATTAATCTGGTGAACACAAATAAGTACCTATGTAACAATTAAGGATCAGAAAAGTAGATACAGAAGAGTACCCAAAAAATCTCTATTTATTATCCAGATAAGTCACTAACCAATCTAATGAAGTTACAATGAATTACAAAATGAATTGGCTTATTCCTGTAATCTTTTCTATCTTTAAGATTCATGATTCTTAAGGACAGACTATTATAAAGTAAACAAATACAAAGGGGAGTAATAAAGACATAATCAGTGAAAGTTTCACTAAGGAAAGAAGACTTACGCTGGGCTTTAATGACAAAGAATTAGTGGAAGGGAAAATAAAATTATTTTAAGACAGAACATAAACAAAAGCACAAATCTTCACTGACTATCAACTATGTCCCACAATTGCTGCTTAATTCTAGGAATGTAAGCTGGTTCATTTGTCCTCTCAGGAAACACAGGTACAGAAGAGGTCTGGAACCAATAAGGAAGACTCACAGAGGTATGACATGGAGCTAGGAATCATGTGTCTCAGCATGGAGGGGACAAATGCACATGTATGCGTAGTCACGCAAAAGAAATTAGTGTAGTTATGTCTAAATATCAAGAATATTATTTTGCATATTTTCTACTTACCTACGAAACATAAATATCACTACAACCTTACCATTAACAAAATTCCACCTCTGAGTGTTTTAATATTCCCAAAATAAAAGTATATTTTTCTGTATTTAAATCCATAAAAAAGATTAATCCAAAAACTGTTAACTTAAAAATGTACATACTCTTTTACCCAGCAACCTCACTGTTTAGGAATTTATCTTAAAGGGAAGATAGCACCTGATACAACGATTTACCTATACAGATATCTGCCACAATATTGTTTATAATAGTAAAACAATGAAAAAGACTTAAATGCAATTCAATATGAACAGATTGAAAACAAAACGAAACACCTGATATATGCTTACTGTGGAATGCCATGTAGCCATTAATATAGAAATATATGTATTTGTTGACATGAAAAGACAGAGATATTCACAATATAAAGATTAATAATTAATGAAGTTTACCAAACACCATGATACAATTTTTTATATGAAAAAATATTGGTGCACATGCACACTTAAAAGCTTTTGAAGACAGAATCCAGGGTTCAAACTCCCATTTCTAAAACTTGGATGAATTACCTAACTTCTCTAGACTTTAGTTCCTTAATTTCTAAAATGAATAGTTATATTCCAGAACAGAGATTTGTACTTACCAGGATACAATGTAAATTTGTTAAATTGACCACCTCACAGACAGTTTTTATTCTATCTATTAATCTTGCAAAATAGTTGACCATTTCTTCCTTTTTAATTATTTTTGCATATCGAGGGAAGGTAGGTGGAAGTAGCCTCTGGTTAACCAGAGGCTCAAAGCCCATCATAATTGGATGATCTAAAAAGAAAAAAAAATATTTCAATGTTTCTCAGAATTTTAAATCTCAAATACTACTAAAAGTAAAAAAGGCCAGTTTTAAAAACATCTCCAAACAAATTCTAATCACAACATTGTCTAGATTTTATATTTTACAATTAACATATCTATACACACATATTTTAAAATAGATAAGCATATTTAATAACCTAAAATTGTATTTCCTAACTACATGATGTTGGTAGTGGTGACAGAAAGGAGCTTCTACCTTCAAGCCAAGAATGGGATAAAATAGGGTTAATATAGTCCCTTTTTCTGACCACAGTAGTATGAAATCAGAAATGGAAAATCTACAAATATGTGGAAACTAAACAACAACACAGTTCTGAACAACTAATAGAAGAAATCAAAAGGAAATTAAAAATGTATCAAACCAAATGAAAACTGATACACAACATACCAAAACCGATGTGCTGCAAAAGTAGTTGTGACCGGGAAGTTTATAGCAATAAATGCAGATATTAAAAAATTATAAAGACTTCAAATAAACAATCTAACTTTATACCCCAAGGAACTAGAAAACAAATTAAGCCCAAAGTTAGAAGGAAGGAAATATAATGATTAGAATGTAAATAAATACAAGAGACCAAAATGCAACAGAAAATATTAACAAAACCAAGAACTGGTTTACCAGAAAGATAAACAAAATTGATAAACCTTTAGCTACACTCCTATATGTCTACTGACTGGGGAATTTAGCTTACATTTAAAGTAACTGTCAATAGGTATGGAAATGCCATTGTCATTTTGTCAATTGTTTCCTGGTTTTGTAATTTTTTGTAATTCCTTTATTCTCTTTTTCCTTCTCTTTCTCTCTTCATTATTTGATAATTTTCTGTAGTGCGTATGCTTTGATTCTGTTCTTTTTTTCCTGTATATCTATAGGTTTTTGCTTTGTGGTTACCATGAGGTTTGCATAAAATACATTTGTAATAGTCTAAATTGATAACTTCAAACACACAAAAGCTACCTCTGCCACATTTCATATCTGATGTCACAATTTGCATCCCCCCTTTAAAAAAAAATTTTATTGATTTCAGAGAGGAAGGAAGAGGGAGGGAGGGAGAGAGAGAGAAACATCAATGATAAAAGATCAGCTGCCTCCTGCACGCCCCCTGCTGGGAATTGAGCCCACAAACCAGGCATGTGCCTTGATAAGAATTGAACCCGGGACCCTTCAGTCCAGAGGCTAACGCTGTATCCCCTGAGCAAAACCAGCGAGGGCACAATCTGCATCTTTTATATTGTACATCCATTAACAAAGTATTTTAAATACTTTTTATCTTTTAACCTTCAGACAAAAATTTTAAGTGATTTACCCACCACCATTACAACATTAGAGTATTCTGAACGAAACTAGTTGGCCCTTGGTATCTACAGGTTTTACATCCATGGATTCAACCAACCACAGATCAAAAACAGTATTCAATCCACACCTGGGAGTCTGCAAATGCAGAAGGTTGACTGTATGCATTGTTCTACGCTATTTTATATGTGCATCCGTAGAGGATCCTGGAACCAATCCCTTGCTGATACAGAGGGATGGCTGTGTATATTTACTTTTAACAGTTTTATACTTTTCTGTTTTCAGCCCAGCCCAAGCTCCCTCTCAAACTTCTGTGATTGTCCATACCTCCTCTTCAGGTCTTAGAAATAGCTGAGATTGTGCCAACACCCATGAGTGTCCCAAAGTCAGCACCTACATGTAGGCTAATTAGAAGCTAAATCCTCAGGTAGCAGCTGGGGAAGTATATAGTTAAGCCCCTTTCCAGGCAGAAACTGGGAGATGGACATTTTTGCTCAATTCTTCTGGGTGTATACCCATGGAGGAAGGGTGCTCCCACACCTGCTAACAACTGTTTCTTTGTTTTATAGGCCAGTGGGGCTCCTGAATGCAAGTGCAGTTGGTTAGTCGGGCCAGGTGATCGGGGCTCATCCAATGACTGACAGCTGCAAAAGCTTGAGCACCAGTTGTGTGCAAGCTCCTTCCTGGGAGATACTGGTAACCGGGTTTTATTACTGCAACAAGTTGAAGTGAGAAGTTGGGAAAGGTGCCTGCTGGTTTTCCCAGTCTCAGGAAGATCTGATCCAGCCCCTAGATGCCTGCTAAACTGGAAGCCTGATCCTCAGGCAGCAGCTCTTACAGCATGCAATACAGTATGCAGGAGAACAGGGAGGAAACCTCTGTTTCTAGACAGCTTTTAAACTAGTTCACATGTCATTTGCATAATTATCATCCTCATTTTCTGAGGTACCTGGTATATAAAAATGAGGCTCTTGAGTGAATCCACAGTACAAACTGGTCTGTTCTTGACTTTGCTTATCAGTGGCTAAGAATTCAGTTATTTGGGGTCAGCTAGATCAATGTCCTCTGTTTCCCAGCTTCTAAAATTTTGTTGCTATTTTCTCCTTTCCCTGTTTATTCCTCTTTATTGAATATGCCTGGTTGAGTCAGGGAAGACTTTGTAATGGAGGTGATGATCTCTTAAAGAAGTGAAGGGGAGAGGTGACTAAGAACAATGTATTGCTGACATCACAGCATGGTCACCAGACAGGGTAAATACTCAGAGCACAAACAGTAAGATATAGTACTGTTTTTTTTCTAGAAAAAAATTTAAAAGAAGGGAGCATACTTTATAAGTCTATGGAGCAAAAACATTCCAAGGCCCAGAGAGATTTAATTAAATAAAATTTTAGCCAATGTCCATACTACCCATAGCAATCTGAATGGGAAAGAATGAAAAAAGAGTAGGAGCAAAAACAGATAGTTACCTCCTTTTGTAGTATCATTCTGGGCCTGGATGCCATGATGCAATGAATTATGAATGGCAGAAAGAAGATCTGCTGCTTGAACCATCAATTTTTGAGCTTCTGCAACAGCACTGGTCTAGCAAATAAATCACCAAAAACATTCTTACATATTCTTTCACTGAAAGATATACATTGGATAGGAAAATCCTATAAACAATAATGAAATCAAGTGCTTGTTGTAATGACATTGGTTTTCATGAACTATTCACTTAATACAGAATGTCCAGATCCTGTCAGGATAGAAATTATTTTTTTTTTTATAATTTTGTAGGAGCCATTAAAAAACAATAGAAAACATTTCTGGTTTATTCTATTAATATTTCGTTTAAAAAAGAGAGATGCAGCCAACTGGAAAATTACAATGTTTCTACTTTGTCATTCATTAAGGTGAAATAAAAAAACACACACAGAAAAAAATAGCATTGCAAAAGTTAGGACACTGGTAAAGGTTGGCCCTTTACTCACCACTTATTAACTATTCACTAACTTGCCTGTAATTGAGATACACACACACACACACACACACACACAAAATCACCATCTAGGGCTTACTTTGGGGTCTACACAAATCTAACAGCTATTTCCTGAATGAAAGAGGACATCCTAAAATTCTCATTTTTACTTTCTCCTTTCAACTCACAAAATATGACTATTTTTATATCAATAATAGATATGCATATGTTATGGAGCAAAATGTAAAATTCATGTGACTTTTTGAGAAAATCATCAGGGCTAGTCTGGTGTAAATATACTGAATGTTCAGTGCTGTACACGTGCAATAGGGGCATATCAATGGAATAGTCTCAGAACTACTTCAATAAAGCATTCTATCAAAACAAAGCAAAAAAAACCCACAAAAACCACATACCAGTAAATAGACAGATGATAGTAAATCCCCTTACCTCTTTCTTAGTAAAGGCTATAAGCACAGTCAGTAACACTCGAGTAAATTTCATCCTGCTGAATACTGCTAAACACTGTTGGTGCTAAAAAATATATATATAAGAAAGAACTAGAAGTTAAAAGATGCAAAGTCTGTTAAAAGAATTTCATTTTAAAATATGATATTTTAAGTCCTAAATCTCAGTGTTAATAACTTACTACATTACAAAAACGTTCACTCAGTCTTTAAATGCCTGAAAGTCGGAGCTGCAGGAAACATAGCAAAGCTTACTCTATTGAAATAGAAAGCTTCTGTATCAACAGGACTGATTTTTCCCTAAGACAAAAGTTACACTATCATCTCAAAACTGATTTAATCATAAATTAAAAATGACTGTGAAAAAACTAAGCAGAGTCAGAAAATTTAGGACCTTAACAAAGGTTTGGCAACTTTTGATTCTGTGCAAGTTCTTGGGTTTTGCCAGGTTTTGATGTGTCATCTGTAAAGTCATTTTTTCTTCCTACCTCATAGGAATACTGAAGATTCAGCTTTGAAATCATGTATTTGAAAGAACTGTATTATCATTCTATCAAAATAAACACAAGGGAAATAAAATCTCTTGCAATGTCTAATTTGTAAAGAAATACCTTAAAAAGGGCTTCCACAATTATAACAGTTCATAAAACTATAATACTAAGAGGCTGACTTCTCTGATATTATCTACCAGAAAATAAGTTCAATTACTTCTAGTTCAACTTCTGGATCTCTTTCTTCTCCTTGTCGACTTCGAGTACTCTAAAATTTTAAGAAAGGTGAATTAAAACAAACACAGGCCTATAGAAGCATTAAATTATAAATATACAAGGTAAAGCACTAAATTAGTTTACTGTAAGAATTTATTTTTTAAAAAAATATTTGAGAGGGAAAAGAAGCTGTTTTTAGTATTTATTTCCTCCTATTAATACTATATTTAAAAATTTAGTTTTACAAAGATCATACAAAAGAGTAAGGTATTAAAAGCAGCAAAAGCAAAACAGTAAAACAATATAAGTAAAAGCACATGGTACTTCTTTCTTTTAAAAAATCTATTCTTTGAAATTCTAGATGCTTTCAAAACTAACCCTGCTGGGGAAAAAGTAAGCTTTATAAAATCACATCATAAAAATAAATACCGATCTGTTCTGCACTAAATGCAAGCCATCTTATTAATACATGAGTAATATATGGTTAACTGTTTTGACAAAATTCTAGGAAGATCTCATAAAAGAGCTGGTTTCTAGCATGTCCTAGTGAGACTCAGACAGGTTATTAAACTCCTTTGAACTGTATTTTCTAAATGTGGGGCACTGTGTGCATTTTATTGTCTAATTCAATAAATAATTGTGAATATCAAAACAATGTAAAACTGCTTTGATAACTATGCTGTGTTATACAAGTGTAAAAAAAACAGTAGAAATATTAACCTTTCCCTTGTTTAATCTCTATAGAACCATGACATCAGGGTCATTTGGCCGAAGTATGCCATTCATAGAAGATATTTACCAGATTTGGGATACCATCATTTACTTAGCTTTTCCTCTGTGTTGTAGATACTCTCCTAGCTATTAAAGGTACAAAGATGAAGACAGTCCTTATGTTGGAGGAATTTCCAATTCTACAATATGTACTACTCTTAAAATAGCATACAAAAATTCTAAAAAATTGGCCCAAAATTGAAAAATTGAGAGGGTTTATTTTTCAATACTTGAAAGTGACATTAACTTATCAGAAGCTTCTGTAATAGCCTTCAAACTCATTACCAAAAGGCACAGCATATACAAAGGAAGTTGATGGTCCTATCTACATCAGTTATTTGTACTTAAAGTTAACCTGACATTTAGAAAAAGAAAAAAATCCTACACCAAAGAGAGAAGAAAAAAAAAAAATACATATATACCTTTACTCTTCTTTGCATATCATCCTCCACATCTTTTAGCATGCCTAGAGAGAGAGACAATGAGGTTAAAAAAAATACAAGCAATAAACTTGTGAATTATCTTTATAGATGGTGTTACCTGTAACTCGAAGATCTGTCACACTGTTAGCCATTTTAAATCCGTAAGTCATTGACTGAAAGTCTTCCTATACAAAAAAAGGAATAATTAGGTCCCTGAGTAGTAGCAAAACCTTTCCTTATATTTATCTTTAAAAAAATTACTATTTGTTAGTAAGAGAACATAATGGAATATCAGCCTGCTTGTCTTAATATTGCTATCAAACATCCAAGCTTTCCTTATCCTTGCATCCTTAAAAATCCATATTCTAAGGCTCCCCGTGTCCTTAATTTCAACTACTTATCCTTAGGCAATTTAAATATACTTGCATTTAATAGGTTCATTTACAAAATAAGGCTAATGCTTATGATAGTATTACAAGGCTATTCCCGTTTACAAAGTATTCTCAAATTCACAGGTGAACAGTAAATATGTAGTAATTACTGGTTGATTTTAAGATTGTAAGATTTACATAAGATTCTTACTTCAAAAGCCTGTTTCACTGTTAGTATAACAAAGGTTAAGCCTTACTCAAAGGATAGCAAAACCGCATTCCTACTTTAGCCCCATTCCAAAGAAAAATTATTCACACATGGATTCCTACCCCCAGAATAATTTAAAACACTACTGAGACATTAACAAATTAAGTGGCTTGCTGACTCGCATTGAAGACTATGAATTTACTATCATCTGGATTATTTAACAAATCAGAAGCTCTATTTAAGGAGTGTTTCTGTCACATTACAATTCTTATAAAAATGTATATAAAAGCCTAATATAATGCACTTAATAGGTATTTACAGCAGGGGCCAGAACTATAGCAAAATTTCTGAATTCTTAACAAAAGCAACAGAGATCATGCAATTCATGGTCAGGTATTACTATCTTACAGAAAAAAAACATACATTATGCCCCTGGTCTCAAAGAACTCAGAGGTGTTATATCACTCAGAGGATGCAATACTTTGAACATCAAATAGGATTCTCAAAGTTTATGTGTATGAAACAATGAACTCTCCTAATGTTTATCACATTACTATAGCACCTCCATCTATCCAGTTACTCCGCTGAAAACCTGCACTTCAACCTTCTATAACTGTCTGCAGACAGGTCCCCACCTTCCCATACTTATCCCTGCTATAATTTGCCACCAGAAGTCAAAGGGATTGTTTTAAAAATAAGTCATTTTACAGCACTTTCTACTCAAAACCTAGTTTCCTTCCTCATAGGAAAATCCAAAAGCCCAGCATGGCCTCTAAAACCCTCCACCATGTGGCTCTGGTCTCCCTCTCCAACCTCATTTCCTACCCACCACTCTTCTCCATGTCCACTGTACTGCAACCACACAGGCATGCTTGTGTACTTCAGACATATTGAACACATCCTCTTCTCAGGACCTTTGTACTTACTGAGCCCCCCCTCAAAGTTATTTTCTTCAAAAGATTTACAAAGCTCCATCCCTACTGTTCCAATGTCAATTCCTCATACAGAGGTTTCCCCTGTGCATTCTCCCTAAAACAGTACCCTCTACCACTTTCTATCCCCTTCCCCTGCTTGGCTTTTCCTAAAATTAATCACCACTTGACATTGTATATGTACTAGAGGCCTGGTGCACAAAATTCATGCACTCAGGGTGTGGGAATGGGGTCCCTCAGCCCGGTCTGCACCCTCCTGTGCCCTCTCATAGTCCGGGAGCCCTGTGATGGATTGCCCCCAGAGGGAGGCTCCGCCCACCCGCTGGTCAGTGGCTTGGGGGGCCTCCCTCTTTGGGGTGATCGTGGAGCCCCCTGATTGATCAATTGCCCCGCCGGCTGGTGGCCTGGGCCTCCCTCTGCATGGCGATCATGGGGTGATGGGTAGGCCCCCAACCAATCGCATCGCACCCACCTTGGCTGGCCTGACGCCAGTGGGTGTCAGCGTGGTCATCTGGATGGTCATTTCACTGTTTGGCTGTTCGATTGATTTGCATATTACGCTTTTATTATTACAGATTATTATTACAGATTTGCTTATCCAACAGAATGCCTAATTCATGAGATCAGGCTTTGCTTTATTTACTACTTTATTCCAGGACTTAAGAATAGTGTTTGGCTCAGAGTACTGTTCAAAATATATTCGTTGAATGAATGATAACTTACTGTAGGGCAGGGGCTATAAGTGTAAACAGCTGGTAACTTTCCTGAGTATATCAGGCTGGTTACAAAATACCTTGGAGAATAGTGGAGACCGTAGCAAACCAGGGAACACACACCTCATCTAAAGGAAGTCAGCCACTAGTTACCCTATTGTGGCCATGAATTAATGCAGGACTAGTGTGGTAGGATCTCCTAATTTTTCAAAGCAAAAACCTAATTTAATGTACAATTTTCCAATTTTTTTTTAAAAATATATTTTATTGATTTTTTTACAGAGAGGAAGGGAGAGAGATAGAGAGTTAGAAACATCGATGAGAGAGAATCATCGATCAGCCGCCTCCTGCACATCTCCTACCGGGGATGTGCCCACAACCCAGGTACATGCCCTTGACCAGAATCGAACCTGGGACCTCCCAGTCTGCAGGCCGACGCTCTATCTACTGAGCCAAACCGGTTTCGGCAATTTTCCAATTTTTAAATGTTACCAATTTTTCAAAAATTAAGTAGGCCAACATTGCTAAGACAAAAAAATACAAAACACCTGTAAGCCCTCTCAGTGAACTGTTAAGTTTACCTAGAGGAGTCTAAGGAAAAGCATTTTCTAGGAGAATATCTCAGGTCTGTGTAATAAATATAAGCCTCAATTATAAGAACTTAACCTAAGTCACTGGAGGGCTGAGGCAGAGGATGCTGCTAAAGATGCTGCCATTAAAGATCACTCTAAAAATTTTGTGGATTTGAGAACAAAAATCAAAGTGAAACCAATACTAAATACAATCCAACAGTCCAAGCAGGAGCTAACGGTGATTTGGATTAAGGTTATAACTAAGAGTGGGTTGGTTGAAATCAGTATATATCTAAAAGGTAAAGCCAACATGATGTGCCAATGAAATGAATATGGGGTAGGAGGAAACCTGTACAATCAAGAATCGTTTTCGGTCTGAGCAACTAGCAAATGATAGTACCAATTACTGAAATGGGCACATTTAGGGAGGAGCAGGATTAAATGCAGAAATGGAATACAATTTTATTTATATTATGTTTGCAATTTCTTTGGTCAACCAAATGAAGATTTCAGGAAGCTACTTGCTTAAGTCTGGAAGTCAGGGGAGAAATCAGAACTAGAGATATTAATTTGGGGTTCAGCATCATAATGTTGGTATAAAAAGCCACAAGAACTAGAGGAAAGCAACTGAAGAAGTTATAGTGAAGAGAAAAAGCCTAGGAGTATTCCAGCAGTTGGAAGAACAAGCACAGGAAATGGACTCAGTGAGGAAGATAGAAATCTAAGATACTGAAGTATCAGGAGGATGAGGAGAAGAAAGTACTTCAAAAAGTAGTCAACTGGGTCAAATGATGCTGACAGGTTGAAGAGGGAGGGGTGAGAACAATGGATTTAGCAAAATGGATATCATTAAGGACCTTGTTAACACTAATTTCTGTGTAGTGGTAGAAAAGAATGTCCTGTTGGACAATGTCCAAATGAGTGAGAAGAGACTGAAAGAGAAAGTAAAATAAGTAAATATTAACAGCTCATTCAAGGAGTTTTTTGTATAGGGTAGCAGAGAAATGCAATTATAAATAAAAGGAGCCCTGGGGTCAAGGGAACTGGTGTTTTGTTATTTATTTATTTATTTATTCATTCATTCATTCCTTTGTCCGTCCGTCCACCCATCCATCCATCCATCCTCACCAAAGGATATGTTCTTACTGATTTTATAGAGGAAGCAAAGAGAAAGGGAGAAACATCAATGTGAGAGAAAACGTCAATTGGTTGCCTCTCGAATGCACTCTGACCAGGGAATTTAACCCGCAACCTAGGTATGTACCTTGACCAGGAACTGAATCTGTAACCTTTTGATGAACAGGACAACACTCCAACAAACTGAACCACCCGGCCAGGACTGATGTCCTGTTTTAAATTAAGTGATAGTAAAACATGTTTATATGCCAATTAGTAGTGAAGGAAACACTACTAATGCGATACAAAGAGAGGATTAATAACTGCAGTAGGCAAGAGGGAAAAGAATCTAGAATGCTAGTGGAGGGGCTGAGCTTCTAGCCGTGGGCAAACTACGGCCCTCGGCCGGATCTGGCCCGTTTGAAATGAATAAAACTATTGAAAAAAAAAGACCGTACCCTTTTATGTAATGATGTTTACTTTGAATTTATATTAGTTCACACAAACACTCCATCCATGCTTTTGTTCCAGCCCTCCGGTCCAGTTTAAGAACCCATTGTGGCCCTCGAGTCAAAAAGTTTGCCCACCCCTGGCTTAGACTGTCACAGGTATACTTTCAATTTCAACAAGATAGAAGGCAGAGTATATGGGAATCAACACAGGTTAGCACTTGTGATAGTGAGAGATGGGGTACTTCTAATTCCACCGGATTCCAACTAATATTTCACTACAGTACAAAGCAAGCTGATAGAGAAGGGTTGGCATTAGAGGTCTGAGAGGAAATGATGTGGAAAAGTCACCTTGGAGACTGGAAAAGCAAGTTCACTATACAAGTATTATGGGGTAGGGCTGTCGCTAGTGTTAAGGGCCCATCTGAGATTTGCAGTCCTAAAATAAAAGTGAGAACTAGACACACAGATATGGATTTTCTCAAGCAGTTTTCTGCTGTTTGGGTACAAGTAGCAAGCAGGCAGATGGTTGGGGTTTTACCAGATAAGTGACACATTATGATGAAATGAGAGCACTGGATCAGGAAAATGAGGACACAAGGAAAGTAACAGAAAAATAAAGCAAAAGCAAACAAACTGAAGATCTCTAGTATAGAACTGAAGGATAGTGGGAGCAGGGAAATCAGAGTAAATAGAGTAAGTGGAAGCAATCAAGATTTTTGGAGGTGAGATTAGTAGGAGTGGACCACACCATTATTAGTCAAACTGGTATTCTGTTCAGAGTAGAAGAGGATGCTATTAATAATCACACCAGAACAAAAAGGTGTCAAGTAGGACTGTTCCATGCTAACCAATACCTACGGACACCAGCTGTAACAGAAGAATGTGCTGAGGAAGGGCAGAGAAAAAACTAAAATCTGGGCAAGTCAGGAGAATGGGATCCAACTTTAAAGATAAGAAGGACTGCCTTAGCTGGTTTGGCTCAGCAGTTAGAGCGTGTTGGCCCGAGGACTAAAGGGTCCTGGGTTCGATACTAATGAAGAGCACATACCTCATTTGCAGGCTCAATCCCTGGCCCTGGTCAGGGCACATGTGGGAGGCAACCAGTCGATGCATTGATGTTTCTCTCTTTCTCTCCCCCACTCCCTTCCACTGTCTCTAAAAGTCAATGGGGAAAAAATATCTTCGTGTGAGGATTAACAACAACAAAAAGATAAGCAGGACTTTGCCCTAAAAAGCTAAGTAAAAGAGAAAAGGCATAAGGAGAACCAGAGGGAAATGTTACTATGGCGAAGGTTCAAAGATATGCAGAGTCGCTGGCTTTAAAGATGGAAATGCAGGAGGCTTCTAGAAGTGGCAAAAGGCAAGAAAGCAGAGCATTCGCTAGAGCCTCTGGAAAGGACCCAGCCCTCCAGTACCTTGATTTTGGCCCCGTGAAACTTGTGTGACACTTGTGCCCTCCAGACTCTTCCTCTACAACCATGCCTATCAAACCCAACATGTCTCAGATTGAGAAATTTGATAGGCTGAAATTGAAGACAGAAACACAAGAGAAAAATCCACTGCCTTCAAATGAAACCATTCGACAGCGGAAGCCAGCAGGCAAATCATAATGAGACACAAACTGCCAATACTATGCACAAACCACCAATATGCACTGTATATTCCACAAGCACTGCCTTCTGATTTTTCTTATTTTAGCTGTTTAAGTTTGTAAGATGCAAAGAGCTTGGATCAGTTTAAATGACTCCTGCCCCTTTTCACATCAAAGAACTACTGACAGTGAAGGCTGCACCTGCCTCTCCCATCTGTCTGTCTGGCAGGCAGGGAAGGAAAAGAACTTGCATATTGGTGAAGGAAGAAGCTGGGTGGGACGACAGTGAAATCTAGAGTAAAAACCAAGCTGGTCCAAGGTGTCCTACAGTCTGTAAAATGCAGTTTAATCAGAGTGCCTTTTTTTGTTGTTGTTAGAATGACTTTAATCATTGGAATGAACAATTTAAAAAATATGGAAATAAAGTTTTAAAACTTGAAAGAAAGAGAGAAAGAGAAAGAGGGGGGGAGAGAGAGAGACAGAGAGAGAGCGTAAGAGCCAGAAGGCACATCCTGTGCACTAGCATGAAATAATGGAAGAGAATAATATTAGGATCAGCTGAACAATAATATGCCAGGGGGAGAAAAACAAAAATGAGAAAGAAAATGTAGGCATACACTAGTTTGGCTCATCTGTCATTAATATTTAAATAATCACAATAATGTCAGCAATAAATAATGGTTTAACCAAAAATTGAATTCCTATTTAGGGTAGGGGAGAGGGTAATGTAAAAATGCTAAGTACCTGCCAAAGATGTACTGATATATCACTGCTAAAAACTGTTAAGTCCTTAAATCCAGAAATTAGAATATAAGCCTATTATCCAGAAATATGGAAATAAGTTGTAGGAAAAAGCTAAAAGAATATAATGACAGAATGGATAAGAAGAGCAGAGAACTGTAATTTCTCACTATAAGACTTGTGGGCTATTTGACTATGTGCAAGTATTATTACTTTTATTAAAACACAAACCCCAAGGAAAATTTTTGAATAGCAAAACTGAATATGACCGAATTACCTACTTTTAAGAGGGTCAAGTAGAGAATGAACTAGAGAGAAAGATCAGGCCAGAAAGAAGAGTTCTGCCTAAACCTAAAGCTAACAAAGGCATGAACGAAAGCAGGAACAAAGAAAAACAGAGCCCAGATTCAAGGTATCTGCAAGGTAAAAAAAACCTGGATACAGAAGGTTAAAAATTTTTTTTGTAATCAAAGATAACATTCTAGAAACCATTTTGCAAGATACAGAATGCAAGAGGAAAAGCGGTCTAATTGGGGGGGGGAGGCGATTATGGTTCCCATTTTGAATGTGTGAGCAAGATATTAAGAAAGAAACATTTTTACACAGCTTGAAAATGTATGCAGTTCAGGAGTTAAAATAAAACAGAGACATAATCTGAGAACAAAATACACCAGCGCTTAAGAACTTCAGAAACATTATTTCAAACAAAAAAATGATTATGTCATTCTTATTTATTCATTACCAAATCTCTTTTTAAAAAAATTAACTTTATTGCTGAAAGTATTACAGATGTCCCCTCGTTTTTCTGTCCATTGCCATATCTCTTAAGGACTTTTACTGAGCAATCTTTTTTTATTCCTAATTATAAAACTGAGACAAATTTATCTGGAAAATCGGTCAAGTTTGGAGGGAAACAATGACCATTCATATCATACATACACAGTATGTGAGTGCCTGTTTTCCCATTCTCATCAACATGGAGTATTATAAAAAATCTTGTAATCTTTGCCAATAATGGGTTAAAAATGATATACTTATAATTTGTATTTCTCTTAAGTAAGTTTAAGCATCTTATGTATAAAGGCCATTTTACTTTGTGAACTATCTTCTGATTTTTAAAAACTTTTTAACACTTAAAACATTTCATCTATCTGCAATTTATTTTGATGTTGTTAACCACCTTCCCCCTAACCCCACCTGTATGTTAAATCCTAAACCCCAATGTGATGGTATTATGATGTGGGGCCTTTGGGATTAATGTCATTCATCATAAGAAGGACCCATGAGAGCTCCCTCTCCTCTTCTACCATGTGTGGACACAGTGTAAAATAAAGATGCAGGCACTCACCAGACGCTGATCTTAGATGATTTAGCCTCCAGAACAGTGAGAAATAAATTGCTGTTGTTTAAAAGCCAACTAGTCTATGGTATTGTTATAGCAGCCCAAAATGACTAAGGCAGATGTAAAATGGTAAGTTAATTTTCAAGGTTGCTAATCAATTGTTCCAGTACCATTTTTCAAATGAATCATTTCTCTGCCCCACTGACTTTTGATATCCTTTGAGAATGTAACTACTTAAAATAATTTGTATTTCTCTTCTCACTTATTAACTTAAACTAATCTTTTAAGTAATTCTACCCAATGGATTAGATTTTCCATAATTATACCCATGTCAATTCAAATATGTAGCTAAATAAACAATGAATATATAAAAGTTGACAGTTATTTCATAGACAACACACAAGCCATACATTTAAAGTGGACAATCATGTTAGGTATATACTTATTCTCACATACATAACATTATTTAGAAAAGCTTTACATACTATACCAGGGGTGGGCAAACTTTTTGACTCGAGGACCACAATGGGTTCTTAAACTAGACTGGAGGGCCGGAACAAAAGCATGGATGGAGTGTTTGTGTGAACTAATATAAATTCAAAGTAAACATCATTACATAAAAGGGTACGGTCTTTTTTTTTTTTTAGTTTTATTCATTTCAAACGGGCCGAATCCAGCCCACGGGCCGTAGTTTGCCCACAGCTGTACTATACACTGGACTACTGTAGGAGTCTAAGATACTTATTTTGGATCAACAACAATGTTAAAAAGAAACTTACCAGTTTCAACAAAGGGAAAAATTAAATAATCATCTATATAATAAAAGCCTAAGTGACCATTACAGCAAAATGACCAGAACGACCAGTCACTAGGATGTGCACTGACCACCAGGGGGCAAACGCTTAACACAGGAGCTGCCCCCTGGTGGTTAGTGCGCTCCACATGGGGAGCGCTGCTCAGCCAGAAGCCAGGCTCACGGCTGGCGACCGCAGCCTCTCCTGCCTCTGCAGCAGCGCTAAGGAGCAGCGAGCCAAGTGGTGAGGAGCAGCGATTAGGCAGGCGGTAAGGAGGGCCCCGGACTGTGAGAGGGATGTCCAACTGCTGGCTTACGCCCGCTCCCCATGGGGATTAGGCCTAAGCCAGCAGGCAGACATCCCCTGAGGGGTCCCGGACTACGAGAGGGCACAGGCCAGGCCGAGAGACACTCCTCCCCGCCGTGCACAAATTTCATGTGCTGAGCCTCTAGTTTACCAATAATCTCAAATGCTATCACATTTTCCCTTAAAATTATCAGCATCTGAAACCTTATTTTCTATAAGGAGAAAAATATAACCTCAGAACACTTTCCCAGGGCAAGGTGCCTAGTACTAACTTTAAGAAAATGTTTATACTCTAAAACAGCGATTTTCAACCAATGTGCCAAAATAATTTTTAATTCATGCAATACCTGATTATTTAGTCAGGGGCACTGACCTCTTTTCCCTTAGACTGTCAAATAAAAAAGATAACAGCCAACACAACAATAGCCGTCTGGTGTGAATGACTCAAAATTATACCTTTATTTTGGTCAGATGGGCAGAAAAATTATATTTTTTGGTGTGCTGCAGAATTAGTTCATGTGTGCCACAAGATGAAAAAGATGGAAAATCGCTGCCCTAAAATATTCCTCATATTTTTGTTTTCTTTAGTTCTCTCTCATCTGAAGACTGAAAGTAAAGCACTCTTAAATTATAGTTTATAAGAAACTTGAGGGCAGAGGTTGGCTCTTTTATTTTCTTTGTGAATCTCTGCAATAGCCCGAACAAAGTACTCTGCACATAATCGATACTCAATGAATGGTACTGATAGAAAGAACATACCCTAGGATGAAAGTCCTTTCTTAGAACTGGATAATTTTAGCCAATATATATGTAAATAGCAATAGCAATAGTTTTAAAAATTGTTTTTATCTATACATGTTACAAAAATATGTATCATATAATCATTTAAATACATAACAGTGAAAAAGCTTCAGGGATTTAACAAGAGATACCATTTTTTAACCCATTATTTGCAATTTAAATCCCTGAAGCTTTTTCAGTTATGTATTCAAATGATTATATGATACATATTTTTGTAACATGTATAGATAAAAACAATTTTTAAAACTAGTGCTATTGCTATTTACATATATATTGGCTAAAATAATCCAGACAAATGGCGGGGGAGGGAGGGGAGGAGGATAGAGAGCAACCAAAGGATTTGTATGTATGCATGTTACCATAACCAATGGACACAGACACTGGGGCGATGGGGGCTTGCACAGGGTGGGAATGGCTGGGGGGTTGGGGGGGTGGTTCAAGCAGAGAAAAAGGAGACATGTAAAACTTTAGACAATAAATAAATAAATGGTATCTCACACTTATAATTAATTACAAAATCTTACCTCTTCAAATACAGCAGCTTTATTTACTTTTTCCCTTGCAATGTCACAGATTTTCAAGATTCCAAGAGCAAAAGCTTTCATGGCAGGATCTTCTATAAAGTCTGGATTATGAATATAAAGACATGTAAAGACTGTCTGTGCCAAGGAGTGGCCTTCTAACCATGTTATCTATAAAGAAATAAAACAATGCATATGTTTAAAGTGAGTCTGCAAAGTCTAAACTGATCCAACAGCCAAAGACCAAACTGCCACAGACCCAAGTAAATATAATATTAATAACAAGATTTAAAAGGTGATCAAAGGGCCCTAACTGGTTTGGCTCAGTGGATAGAGCGTCGGCCTGCGGACTGAAAGGTTCCAGGTTCGATTCCGGTCAAGGGCGTACCTTGGTTGCGGGCACATCCCCAGAAAGGGGTGTGCAGGAGGCAGCTGATGGATGTTTCTCTCTCATCGATGTTTCTAACTCTCTATCCCTCCTCTCCCTTCTTCTCTGAAAAAACAATAAAATATATTTAAAAAAATAAAATAAAATAAAATAAAATAAAATAAAAGGTGATTAAAGGAAAGGTCAGGAAAGACAAAAAAGTTAGAATTCAAAAAAAAAAAGTTAGAATTCACTTTCATTGACTAAAGTCTTTTAAGAGTCACATACCATAAATATGATTAGCTAAAAGATATAAATATGGAAAGCATTCTTAAATATAATTCAAGTTTGCAATATACTTGGAAACTAATGAAATTAAGTATCTCCAAATATGGCATCCAAATGCAATCAATTCCCCATGCAGTCAATAAAAAGACATACTACTAGGGAATTTACAATTTTAGAACTAGGTCCCAACCCACTCATTCAACTCTTCTTATCTCCTCTAGTATTACCACAAGAAACATACAATGGTTTTATTGCCCCCCCCCCCCCAATCTCTAATTCATATATCCCCAACGAGATGAATCTTTCTAAAACACAAAAAAAATCATTCAACACTATTTCAATGGGCCAGGAACCAGGTGCTCAAAGCTGGGAATATCTATAGCAGCCAAAACTGAGTAACTATTATGCCCCAAGTGCTATGCTATTTTCATATATTCTACCTCATTTCCTAACACTCTGAGGAAAGTGATACTTTTCTCCTTTTACATATAAAGAAACAAAGTCAGAGAGTGTAAATAATTTTGTCCAAGTTTTATATAGTTATTTTTTACATTAAGTCCAAGAATTCTGCAATAGAGAAAGACACATACTGCTGCATTACAAAATGAGAAATGCGTATGAAAATTACTATAATTAATGTATGTATTTTGTGTTACCAGTATGCAGAAGATTTTCCAGACTAAAAGCCATCTGCTTATTAAAGGCCAAACTCTTAGCTACAGTCCCAAGAATCTCATACAAATAATGGTTGCTCAACTTGGGCAAAAATCCTCCCTCTTGCCTCCATTTGTCCTATGGGACTGTAAACTGCTAAAAAGTAAGAAAGATATCTTTGAGGGAAAGAAACAGCTTTGGGGGAAGAAGGATCAGGATCAAGACTCTGGTTATGCCCCTTCCTAGCAATGTAATCCTAGGCAAATAAGATTATATCAGATATTGAATAAAGCTGATATAAGACCTAAGTGAAAAATATAGAAGTACTCATTTTTACACTGGCAAGGAAGACTTACTAAATGACCAAATGAATAAAATTTACATATTTCTAAGATAATTTAAAAATTTAAAAAGGATGGTTAGAAAGTGGGCAAAAAAGGAAAAACAGAAAGAAAAGCAGTACAAATGAGAATTTTGCCACAATTAATCAATGTTTAGGGAAGACAACTTATCCAGCATATAGAAAGCACCACAAAATTTTCTTCATCTTCAAAAACATGGCCAGTTTCGTATAATTCACTCTAGATTAGGAAAAATATCTCTCCAAAGCCAAACCAAAATCTTTGTTTCAATTCTATGCTTCTTTATGGAACCTTTCAATTACAGATTTGTTTCCCTGGGTACCTTGAGAACAAAAAGGGTCCTTAGGGTAATAGCTACACTATTATCTTCACTAGAAAGAAAATACCCCCTTTTCCAGAAACTGAGATTTTTAAAATCACCAGATGAGTAGATAAAATGCTATTTCCTATAGCGTAACTTGGCCTGTCAATCTTTTGTACACCTTAGTAGGCCAAGCATTACATATATTTCATACTCAACATCAGTGTGTATACTTTTAAATTTAAAGATTCAGGTAAGTCATAGTTTTAAAATTAACCAATAGCGTTAGTTTGATTCTTACCAAACAGCAAAAACACGTATCCATTATCCCTATCAATTCCGGCAAGGTGAGGTCTTTAATTTTAATGGTACCATCCTAAAAAGGAGGGGAAATATGACATATAAACAGAAGTTTTCAAAATTTATGTACAGTAGCATTTTGCAAATGCTATATCAGATCCATGCATTTTGGCATTCAAAAATTAAGTATTTAGAAATAGCAATTCTAAGAGCACTCTATCTCACCATCTGATAAAACTAAGATGCCAAATTAACTCTGTATTCTTAAAAGTAATATATTTGAAACAGGTCTTCAGCAAGAAAAATCCAAGCCTCTTTCATTTGAAACAGAATAAAGGACTTTATAAAGAACTGAAAAGCCAAGCTAACAAGTATTTTAAAAGCAGTTCAAATTAGTTTCAAGCATTAACATGAATCATTTTAATGAATCAAAACTTACAAAGAATAAAATAAACATTTAAAAAAAATACTTCCCTTAAGTTGGTTAATTATACTACTTATAAATTTTGTTTACAATACCCATTTATTTAGCAAATTTTTTTCATAAAATATGCAAAATTAAACTCTGTGGTAACTATGAATGAATTTCTAAATCAATTCTCAATGAGTAAATTTCAAATTCACTGCCACAAGCATTTTACTTAATATATAATAGATAGGTTATGGGTTCGATCCCTGGTCAGAGGGAGTACAGGAGGTAACTGATGGATACCTCTCACATTGATGTTTCTCTGTCTCTCCCTTCCTTCCCTCTAAAAATCAATGAAAACATATCCTCAGGTGAGGATTAAAAACTATATAATAAAAAATAATAAATATATTAATAAATAAAATTTAATCCTTAAGCCAATTACCCTGGTATTTGAATATATACTCAAATGCTTTCAAAAATCAATTTTTATAATGCACACACAAAATTAGAGCAAACTTTTAATGAAGACCTTAAATAATTTTCAGATTTCCATAGAAAGAGAGAACTAAAAGTTATGAATAACTCATTTATATATCTGAGATACTCTTAGAAAATTATACTTTAAGTAATATACTAAGTTTCATTTTCATTACTAACCAAAAATGTTTTAAAATGTGAATAACAAATAATAAAAGAAAACACAAAAAGCACAATGGTGACTACCTTGATAGCTTGTTCAAAATTGAGAACTTTTCGATTAACTTGGTTTCCAATCATGCCAGCATCCATCTTGGGATCCATCATTTCAATGGCAGACATGGCTTCAAAAAGACCAAATCTACAAATAAAAAAATTGACCCCACAAATTGTTTCTGAACTAGTAAGCTTATCCAGATTTCCACAATGGTAAAAAATTAAAGTAGTACTTAAAATAACTTCATTATTTTATGTACTTAATATTTAAGTCTTTCCAACTTGCTAACGCTTCAATTAAATAACCTTCCTTTAACACAAAAATTCTCCAATGTACTTGTCAATGAAATTACTTTACGTGCACTGTGGAAGAGAAAACAAAAGATGAATTTTGTACTTCTTTCAATAGGCTGGGCATTAGAAATTTTTGGAAAAGACATCAACTGATCTATTTCAACTTTATTATTGTTGGGTTTTTCTTTCAGCACTATGAACTTGAAAAAAAATGAAACTAGGTTTTATAAATTAGTAGTCACATTTAGTATTTGGACCACGTTTTAGTCTTGGGTGCTCAAAACACTAGAGGAGTAATGACCAACAGAAATATAATGTGAGCCACAGAGATAATTATAACTTTCCTAGTAGCCACACAAAAAAGTAAAAAGAAACAGATAAAATTGATTTTAATAACATGTTTTAACTCAATATGTCCAAAAGTTTTTTTAATTGATCCTTAGTATTTAAAATTATTAGTGAGATATTTTGCATTCTGTTTTGCATATTAAGGTTTTTATTCCAATGCATATATTATGCCACATTTCAATTTGGGCCAGCTGATAGCCATGTGTGGTTACTGGATAGCACAGCTCCGGAACTTTGCTTCTAGTAACATCAACACTTCACCTAAGGTCTCTAAGGTCACCAATTTTCCTTCTTCCTGCTGCTTCTTTAAGTTTTAAGAAAGTAGCATCTTAGAGTATCAGAACCTGTGTTAACACTTAAAAATAAACCATTAAACAAACAAACAAAGCAAAAGAACAGAACCAGGAGCCTCAGATTAGAGTCCAATTTCTCAGGCTATCTATCTAAGTGGAATTTTGTTCAAATATAAGTGATAAACAAAATCTCTTGCAGTCATGTCATTTAGATATGACCATTATAGCAGTCTTTCATAAAGGCTTGGCCCTAAGCTAAAATCAGTTCTTGTCATCAGGGCCTTAAAAACATTTTTTGGAAAGACAGACATGCATATATGAAATAATTAAATAACCAAGCAGGCAAATATTTAGCGAGGCAAAGTAGGTAAGGGAAAGGAAGGGTGAAAGGAAAAGGGTGTACAAAGGCAGGGGCTGGAACTGGCTGGGGTAAAGGGGGCACACAGTCACCCTCAGGAGGTGCTTGCTCCGCTTGCTTTCTCAGAGCTGGAGACCTCCTGTGAGAAAGAGGGAAGCGCGATGTAAACTCGCTTTACTCCAGTAAAGGGAGGCTGTACTTCAAATCTCTCTGGTCCCTTCTATTCCACTGAACTGTACTTCAGCACAATATCTGTATGATGCAGTTTGGGGATTTTAAAAATTGTCTTCTGTATATATAAATTACAGAATTTAATTAATCCTATGGCTGGCAGTCTGGAGACCCTTACCAATTTTCATGCTCAATTGAGAGTCCTGAGAACGCTTAGTGTTTATGTTCCCTAGTAGTTATGGCCTCTAGAGAGCCTGTGCTATTTTTGGTTTATGAATGTATACTGAACAAATATATGGGACTCTGTAATCCAGATAATGTGCCAAAGTATTTTTTGTAGAACATTAGTCCTATGAAGATTCCATGAAATAAAGTTTCCATGGTCAACAGCATTTTGGAAACTATACCAGAGGGCCTGGGTATATTAGCATATTAGCTTTTGGAGGGGGGGGGCGGGGGAGGGAGAGAGAGAGAGAGAGAGAGAGAGAGAGAGAGAGAGAGAGAGAGAAACACCTATGTGAGAGAGACACACTGATTAATTGCCTCCTGCATGCACTCGAACCAGGGTTGTGGATCGAACCTGCGACTCAGGTACGTGCCCTTGACCAGAATCAAACCTGAGGCCCTTTGGTCCACAGACTGACTCTCTAACCACTGACACAAACATTTCATATCACAAACTAAGGTCCGCTGCCCCTATATAGTTCACTAAGGTTAAAGATATATTTATAATTAGTTTTATTTTTATAGCTTTAAATATAAAATTACTCAGACTTCAAGGAACACTACTGCACATGAGAAAAAACAAATACTAGGGCACAATATACTTACAGCTTATCATGAAGCAGTTCTCCCAACTTTAATTCTAAAAGAAACAAAGAGAAAAATCCTTTAAATGCTAAGAAAAAAAATAAAACAAAATGCTAGTACCTGAAGAATGTGCTTGCATTACTTTTCTAAGATATGGTTGTATTATTTCTACTCAATTACTAACTCAATGCCTTCTACACAGTGAACATTTAGATACTAACCATAAACTAAACTTTTTTTTTTTTATATTTTATTGATTTTTTACAGAGAGGAAGGGAGAGAGATAGAGAGCCAGAAACATCGATGAGAGAGAAACATCGATGAGCTGCCCCCTGCACATCTCCCACTGGGGATGTGCCCGCAACCCAGGTACATGCCCTTGACCGGAATCGAACCTGGGACCTTTCAGTCCTCAGGCCGACGCTCTATCCACTGAGCAAAACCGGTTTCGGCCATAAACTAAACTTTTAAGAATTAATAAGCAACCCATCAAGGGCCAAAATAATCCAATTAGAATTGCCAACCTCATTTTTAAAAAATCACTACTGTTCCCTTAAATAAACTTTTTCATAGAACTACTATTTCTCAAGTTGTTTTTAAACCAGTTGGTGTCATCTAATGTCTTTTGTCTTTGAAAGTGTTAAAACTATTTTTTAATTATATTTTAGTTAAATAATATAGAAAACACTTGCATAAACAGCTAATGAAAACACTGTTCATCCTCTATAAAACAGTTCTCAACTACAACTGCGTATTAGTATCAACTGGGGAGCATTTGAAAATTTCAGTCCAAGCAGCACCCCAAACCAACGAGGGTGGGGCTTATGCAGTGGTTTTAAAGTACTCCAAGTAATACCAATGAGCTGGTAAGGTGGGAACTAAGCCATCAAAGAGAGAAGAAAATGGCTTAGTCAATAAAGCTTTGGCCTGCAGACTGAAGGTTCCTGGGTTGGATTCTGGTCAAGGGCACATGCCTGGTTGTGGGCTCGATCCTCAGTGGGGGGCATGCAGGAGGCAGCTGATCAATGATTCTCTCTCATCACTGATGTTTCTATCTCTCTCTTCCTCTCTGCAATAAAAATATTCCATATAATAAACGCATAGTATGTAAATTGTCACCTTAACTGGGAGTTGTCCAGGAGTTCAATCAGGGGTTGGGGCCGGCTGCGGAAAGGGAGGGAGCCAGCAGCTGCTGGCCACCGGAGGAAGGAAGGGAGGCCCCGGCCGGCAGCTGGCAGCCGCTAGGGACCCTACCAGTGCACAAATTTCATGCACTGGGCCTCTAGTCTATCTATATATATAAAACCCTAATATGCAAATAAACCGAAGTGGAACAACCAAACTGGTCACTGACATGCACTGACCACCTGGGGACATGTGTGGAATATAGCGAGTGTCAGCAGCAGGTGGCAGAGTGTGGAACATGGCGGGCATCAACTGTGGTGGGATAGTGGAGTAGGTAAGCGGGGGTGCCAGACCAAGGCGGGGTGCTGGTCACTGTCATTGGGGTGGGCCTCTGGTGGTTACTGAAAATTCTTTGCTCCCGCATGCCACAGTCCCACCCAGTGCTCGCATCTGCTGCTGGCACCTGGCACCAGTCCCACAATGCCAAAAGCCTTTAGTTCCAAATCTACATGTAAATGACAATTAGTTCTATATCAACTTTTTAGTTTCAAGAAGTACACCTCACATTTGTGCCACTTGAGAAAATGCAAGAGCTAATTATGGAGAAGTTAATAGGATGATTTGATGTTGGCAACAAAATGACATGCTACCCTCTCTCAATCCACACTGAAGCAGAGATTAAACCATATTTCCTACTTGAGGTCCTTCCATCAGGAAGCAAAATTATTCACTGTTCCTCAAACATAAAAACTGTATCTGACTCTAATGGTTCATCTCAGTCTAGAACAGCGGTTCTCAACCTGTGGGTCGCGACCCCTTTGGAGGTCAAACGACCCTTTCACAGGGGTCGCCTAAGACCATCCTGCATATCACATATTTACATTACGATTCATAACAGTAGCAACATTACAGTTATGAAGTAGCAACGAACATAATTTTATGGTTGGGTCACAACATGAGGAACTGTATTTAAAGGGCCAGAAGGTTGAGAACCACTGGAATAATTCCCTATGCTCACTTAGAGCAGTGGTTCTCAACCTTGGCTGCACAGTAGAATCACCTGGCAATCTTTTTAAAATCCTGATTTCTGGGCCTCATCCTCTGGAAATTCTGTTTCTTTGTTATGGGGTGGGGCCACAACATTAGTAACAAAGAAACAGAATTCCCAGAGGATGAGGCCCAGAAATCAGGATTTTAAAAAGATTCCCAGGTGATTCTAATGTGCAGCCAAGGTTGAGGACCACTGACTTAGAGAAACTCAACCATTTCTTTAAGCCCCAACTTAAGCCATAAGTACATCATAAAACCTTTCCCATTTAGGTTCATAATAACAGCCCTTTAATATAGATCACTTAAAATCAGTGCAAGATGATAGGTATGAGATCCACTAATAGTCTAAGATCTCTGAGCACAAAAACTACACTATAACTTACACTTCTTTCTCTCTTCCTTAGATTGCCCATACCAGTACATGGGCAATCACCCAACTCCCAGTCTAATGTTCTTTCCATTCTCTCTCAGGCATATTTTAATTGGACACATATTTTAAGAGTAAAAGGGTAGGCACATGATTTATCATTCTGCTTATATTCAGCTGGCTCCCTTTCCATCTGCAGCTGCTCCAAGTCTTCACTCCTCTCCTTAAGAGCACTGTTCTAAAAACCCCCTACTTCACCACCAAAGACCTAACCTTCTTGCTCACTAATGTAGAAGCCATCAAGGTGTGAATTCCTCCACCATTCCTCTCCATCCACTTAGAAATAGACCTGTATCTTCACATCCTAACCTCAGTTCCTCCTGTCTCATTATGTCCCCACTAGAGGCCCGGTGTACAAAATTTGTGCATGAGTAGGGTCCGTAGGCCTGGCCAGCAATCAGGGCTGATGGGGGCGTTCTGGCTGCCAGCTGGGGCCTCCCTTCCCCAGCTGCTGGCCGGGACCTTCCTTCATTCTGCACTGCCCCCTGGGGGTCAGTGCATGTGATAGTGAACAATCAAACTCCTGGTCTCTGGGTCAAACTCCCGAGGGGACACTTTGCATATTAGCCTTTTATATATATTGATTTTCCCCCAGCCCCAAGTTAATTTCTCTACCATGTTTTTGAGCCAATTCTCTCTTAAAGTTCAAGCTCTCACTCTTTGTTCCTTTCTCTTATCTTCAATCTCCCACCTCAGTAAGGCTTTTCCCCTCATACAAACATGCTCATTTATCCAACCATTTATGCCCAAACATTTATTGAACTTACTATATGTCAGGAAATGTTCTGTGTGCTAGGTTACTGACAAGATATCTGCACTCACAGAGTTACAATCCAGTGGGTGAGACTGATAATAAATAATAACTGAAAATGATAATTTATGACAGTAGGTAAATGTTATGAAGAGAATAAAACAGGGTGATTTAACTGAGCTGGAGTTGGATAGAAGGGGGTGAATCTGCTTAGATTGGTTGTTTTGACAAGTCCTTACTGGAGAGGTAACATTTTAAGTGCTCAGGAGGGAGTCAGCTATGCGAAGACCCAGGGGTAAAGTAATTTAAGGTATGAAAAACAAAATATTCAAAGAAGGACCATGTTGTAGTGCTTAATAAGATAAGGACTTAAAACTAAACACAGCCCTAGCCGGTTTGGCTCGCTGGATAGAGCATTGGCCTGCGGACTAAAGGGTCCCAGGTTTGATTCCAGTCAAGGGCACATGCCCAGGTTGCAGGCTCGATCCTTAGTGGGGGGCATGCAGGAGGCAGCCGATCAATGATTCTCTCTCATCATTGAGGTTTCTATCTCTCTCTCCTTCTTCCTTCCTCTATGAAACCAATAAAAATACATTTTAAAAAACCAACCAACAAACAAAAAACATAAATGAGCCCAGTGGGACAGTGGGACAAAAATGAAATCTTGCCCTGAATGATGTGGCTCAACTGGTTGGAGTGTGGTCCTGTACCTCGAAAGATGGTGGGTTCCAGTCCCAAGTAAGGGCACATACCCAGGTTGTGGGTTCGATCCCCCGTTGGGGCATGTTCGGGAGGCAACTGATTGATGTTTTCCTGTCACGTTGATGTTTCTTTCTCTCTCTCAAATCAATAAAAAAATGCTAAGCAAAATAAGCCAGTTGGAGAAAGATAAATATCACATGATCTCACTCATTTGTGGAATATAATGAACAACATAAACTGATGAACAAAAAATAGAGCCAGGGGAAAAAATATTTTAGACTATAGTAGAAGTAATCCTGTTATTTGCAGATTTTTAATATTTCCTACAACTTTTGTGATATCATACTGTTAGTACAGTTTTGGTAATATTATTATACTTAAAATTCTTTTTTTTCTTGAAATATTAATGTTTGTTGCATGTAATATTATATTTAAGATCGTTTTTCTGTAATAATTGGTGTTTATTGCATGTAACATTATTATATTTAAGATCATTTTTCTTGAAATATGAAAAAATAAAATAAAAACCTAGGCCCTGAGGGAGAAAAAATAAAAATAAAAAGACATATCCTCAGGTGAGAATTAAAAAAAAAAAGATATCTGAGTGGTGGGCAGGCACCAGATCATAAAGGCCATGGGGAAGAAGTTGAAATTTATTCTATATGCCACAGGAAGCCCCTGGAGGATCTTAAGCAGGACATGACATAATCTGATCACTTTCAAACCTCAAACAGACAACAATATTACTGTCTTTAGGTCAGCATATTCCATTTGCACAGTTTAAAATTATTGCTAGATACTCTAACCTTTAGTTAAAAAGTGAAGAAAATTTTAATAGAAGTGCCTCAACATATTTATTTAATGTTCTATTATATACACACGTATATACATACATATATATACATACATATATATATATATATATATATATATATATATATATATATATAGGCTTTAAATGAAAGTTAAACCTAGAGGATAGAGAATGAATGAGTGTGGTTAACAAAACTTACATAAAGCACGCTTATCTACTTACTTGATTTACGGAGACACTGCCAAAATCACAATCAAGATTTGATATTACCTTTGCCCAGATTCTGAGCTTCCAATCCAAATATCCAAACTCACCTCGACAAGCGTCTTCAAAATCTTGAGTGATGTCCACCCAGTTCGCACTGCTCTTTTCCATCTTTTCGGGTATACTGAGCTCCCATCCTGAATCATCGTCTTCCACGGACGCTTTCATAACCATGATGCCTGCAGAATGAACACCTGGTGTGAAAGGCAGGACGGACGTCGCTTGCAGGGCCAGCCTATCTGCAAGCCCCTGTGCGTCTAAGTCGGGGATGAAAATCTCACCCCAGTGCTTCAGCCCAGCTCTTCTGAGTTTGCGGCTGGTATTGGAAAAACATGTCTTCATACAATGAAGTCTCACAATAATTACCACCACTGCGGCTCATCTACTTGGCCAACCACCTACCAGAGCTCACAAAGAGTTTGCCTGCTCACTATTTCAGGAGAAAGAGCATACCTCATGCCAGCACTGGCCCCAGCAGAACCCACTCCAGAGCTTCCGACATTGGACTCAGGCCAAGGCATCCTTCAGGGTCCCCTCTCCCAACTACTCGGGTCAGGGTGACCCCCCACCTGCCAGGAGACGACGGGCCGCCTCTCCCAGCCCGCAGGACCCCGGCAGAGCCTGGCCGAGAGGCGCGGCGCGCGGGAGCGCCCCGTGGGGCCCCCCCGCCAGGCCCAGAACAGGGGTGCACCTGAGGAGGGGACGCGCACCCCCTCCCCACCGGGTCAGCACGCCCCGGCCCCACAGGGCGCGAAAGCAAGGGCAGGGCTATTGTCGCGCGGAGTGCGGGCACACGTCGGCCCGGGTCTTCGCCCCGGTAACACCCGTCAAGGCCGGGCCTCGGCGGGCAGCGGGTGTCCGGGAACCCCAGCTCCTACCTGAGGCGCGGCGGTAGGGCCGGGGCCGCAGGGTGACCTGGCGTCCCCAGGATCTGCTACAAGAGCGGGGTCTGAGCGCTCAGACACGGGAGACAGGAAGTCTTAATGGCTCCGCACGGGCGGTCCCTACCTACCACTCCAGTGGCCACCCGCGCCGCCACGCACCGAGCAGACCGCGGAAATAACGACGCCTCCCCTGCCGCCGCCGCCGCCGCCGCCGCCACCCGCTTCCCTCCCCTCAACTCCGCTCTCCTAGCTGCAAGCGCGCATGCGTACGCCCGGAGCGCGCGACCCCGCCCCCCTCCCTTACTCTCAGGGACTTCGCGCTCCCCGGCCACACCCCTTCCCTCGCCTCGGCCACCGTCCGGCCTATGGCTGCCGTCTTTTCTTCTCGCGTAAATACCGCCAATCGCGAGACCGGAGAATACCTTCCTGCTCCAGCTACGGCCCAGTCCCGGGATAGTGGGCGGGTCCCAGTAAGGGGCGGGGCCTGGGGCACAGCCCGCCCCTCCCCGCCCCTCCCCGCCCCGCGCGGCTCCCTGGGAACTTCTTAGAAAGGTGACGCGAAGCCTCCGTGAGATGTGGATGCGTCAGGAGCCCCTATCCGTTGCGGTCTGGAATGAAGAGCCGGCTCCTGGAGTTCTGCGGGGCTAGTGCCGCCCGGCACCAGGTTTATGTTTTCTGGAGAGCGCCTGTGGGTTTCTGGAGGAAAAATAGGAACACAACATCTGCAGGCTCAAGCCAGCCATTTTCTTTCAAACTCCTACAAAAAATGTAATAAAAGAATCAGTTTCAAAGTGGGGTTACGTCAGTAGCCTGGTACGGGTAAGGAACGCATCTTGACCACAACATACCCATTAAACTTTAAAAGAAGATAACAAATGTTAACTAGGACATGGAGCAGCTGGACCTTCCTTGTTGCTGATGGGAATGCAAAAATGGTTACAACTACTTTGGCGAAGTTCGTCTTTACTATAAAGTTAGGCACTTAAGTGTTCCAGCAATCCCACTGCTAGGTATATAGGAATAAAAATGTGCTTGTACATGAATTTTCATAACTTTATTTTTTTTTAAATATATTTTATTGATTTTTTACAGAGAGGAAGGGAGAGAGATAGAGAGTTAGAAACATCGATGAGAGAGAAACATCGATCAGCTGCCTCCTGCACATCCCCACTGGGGAAGTGCCTGCAACCCAGGTACATGCCCTTGACCGGAATCGAACCTGGGACCTTTCAGTCCGCAGGCCGACGCTCTATCCGCTGAGCCAAACCGGCTTTGGCCATAACTTTATTTTTAATGACAAAAAACTCGACACAACCCAAATGTTCATCAACTGGTGAACTTGGGGCGTAGCCATACGATGTAATTAATAGTAATTATCAGCAAATGGGTGAGCTACTTAACATGCAGAAACACATCTCAAAATAAATTATGTTGAGCAAAGGAAAGCAGAGTTTGGGCAAAAGAGTATGATTCCATCTATGTGAAACTACAAAAAGACAAATCTAAACTACAACAACAGAAAACAGAACAGTGACTGCTGGGGGTGTCAAGAAAGGATTCACTGGAATAGGACTAGGTGATCCGAGGTGATGGAAATGTTTTGTATCTCGATTATGGTGATCGTTATATGGGTATATGCACGTGTAAAAAAAAATTCATTGAAGTAAAAGAATGCATTTTATTGTTTGCAAGCTAAACCTCAATAAAGTTGATTTGAAAAAAATAAAGAATACATATTTATGTTTTACAGGATAATACATTTTCTAAGGGCAGAAGCTTTGCCTATTTTGATTACTAGTAAACCTGTATTGGCAGCATTTAGGGCAGTGATGGCGAACCTATGACATGCGTGTAAGAGGTGACACGCGAACTCATTTTTTTTGCTTGATTTTTTTTGTTAAATGGCATTTAAATATATAAAATAAATATCAAAAATATAAGTCTTTGTTTTACTATGGTTGCAAATATCAAAAAATTTCTATATGTGACACGGCACCAGAGTTAAGTCAGGGTTTTTCAAAATGCTGACACGCCGAGCTCAAAAGGTTCACCATCACTGATTTAGGGCAATGGTTGGCATATAGTAGGCACTCAATATATACACTCAGGCCAGGACCCCTGTGTCTCAGTGGTTGAGCATTGACCTATAAACCAGGAGGTCACTGTTCCATTCCTGATGGGGCACATGCTGGGGTTTCAGGCTCCATCCCCAGTAGGGTGTCAGCCAGTCAATGTTCCTCTCTCTCTCTCTCTCTCTCTCTCTCTCTCTCTCTCTCTCTCTCTCTCTTTCTTTCTTTCTCTCTGCCTCTGCCTTCCTCTCTCTCTAAAAATCAATAAAATAATCTTTAAAAAAGAAAGGAGGAGCTAAATGCCTGTCCTTTATGGCTTTATCTCATTGAAGGAGAAAATGATCTTTACTTTGCTATATTACCATAATCCCAGCAATTTGGGTAATGACACATTGCAAGAAGTATGTTGCTACAAAATAAAACATATTGGTGTGGAAACTGCAAAGTAAATAGGGAAATTTAAAATTGTCTTCCCTTAAATGTTACACTAAATAGTTACTGTTCAGTAACCTAAAATAGTTTATGATGTTTGTTAACTTACACACTAACCTCTAAGTATACTAGTATTTGTTATAAAACCAATATAAAAAATTACCCATAGCCTAGCCAGTTTGGCTCAGTGGATAGAACGTCAGCCTTCTGACTGAAGGGTCCCAGGTTCAATTCCGGTCAAGCGCACATGCCTGGGTTGCAGGCTGAATTCCCAGTAGGGGGCGTGCAGGAGGCAGCCAACCACTGATCCTCTCATTATTGATGTTTCTATCTCTCCCTCTCCCTTCCTTTTGAAATCAATAAAAATACATCTTTTTTTAAAAAAGTTACCCATACTTGTAAGCATAATATAGAAATCACCCATAATTCTAGGCTGAAAGAAGACCTTCGTTCAAGATCTATACTCTTTTTTCCATGAATATACAACATATGCTTTTATTTTGTCTTAATAAAAGTGGGTCCTCACTGTACTTACTGTTTTGTATTCTATTTTTAACTTCAAAATGGAGTATGAATATATTTCACGTTAATAAAAATTGTAGAACATCAGACACAAATATTTTTCCACTCAGGATTGTGGTTATTTCTCCTTTGTTATTTCTAATCTTGTCACTTTTTCACCTTATCAGGCTTGCAAAAAGTTTGTGTAGCTCACACAATTTTTCCCCATTTATATTTTTCCCCCCAAACCATCTTTTTATTTTTTATCCTTTTTGTATGTTTTCTAATTTATTAATTTTTAAATGCTATCCTTATTACTAACTTCTGAGACTCTTAATAGTCCTTTCCTAATTTCATAAGATGAATATTTAGTTCTTTAATTTTCATTGTTTGTATTTAATAATGAGGACATTTGAGATGCTAAAGTTTCCTTCTAGAGGTTTTGTTTATAACATTTTTCTATTTCCATTGATTTATTTCATGTAGAGAGCGGCTACAGCGTTTGGACAGGTGCAAGCCTCAGACTAATGAGAGGGCACGGTCCTCTCATGGCAAAGCCATGCGCAAGTCCCAGCTTGGAGGGCAAAGCCCTCCCAGCACAATAATAGCCAAAGGCTATAGTTGTAAGCTTGACCTTATGGTCCGAACCTGTGATCCCAGGAGGCTGAGTGATGTGGGCTTGATAGAGTTCAGGTGCATGTAATTGAGTAGATTCGAAACCTTCAAAAACATTGTTAACATCTTGACCACACCCTTGCTTTGCCTCGTGGGATCTGACTATAAAATAAAGACTCGGCTTACAGGCTGTGGCAGTCTCTCCATCTGAGAAGTGTCCCAGCTAGCTAGCCCCAGCTTTATTCTCTTGTCTGTCTTCTTTAATCCTTCACCGGAGGCTACCCCTCAGGCTCACCCCTGGCCAATTTCATCTTTTAAAAATTCCTCCTTGATCTAAGGTTATTATTTTTTAAATGTATTTTTTAAATTTTGCTCAATGGATAGAGTGTCGGCCCATGGACTGAAGGGTCCCAGGTTCGATTCTGGTCAAGGGCACATACCCTGGTTGCAGGTTCTATCTCAACCCTGATCCTGGTGCATGTGGGAGGCAACCAATTGATGTGTCTCTCTCACATTGATGTTTCTATCTCTCCCCCTTCCTTCCACTCTCTCTAAAAATCAATGGAAAAATATCTGCCCATGAGGATTAACAAAAAAATAAAATAAAAATGTGAGAGGTCACCTATTTGTATTTTTAACCTTTATTTTATATGTTACTGGTTAATAATCAAATAGGACCCCAAAGTACTAAAATTGCATGATGATGTACTAAAGTATAAATCTATTTTCTTCCATCATTTTTCTGGGCATTAAGTGGACCCTTTAAATGTAAAAATACATATCGTTCAGTTCTCGGGAATTTCCTTAAATTGTATTTTATTGTATCCTCCCCCTTTTCCTTTGTCATCAATTTCTAAAAATATTACTATTCAGATGTCAGATGTCTTGAATTGGTCCCTTAATTTAAAAAATATTTTCTGTATTTAACAAATATTTTTTAAAATTAAAAATTGTTTTTGCTTTGTTAACTGGGTGAGTTTTTAGCTTTATCTCCTAAACTTTCTATCAAGTTTTCATTTTTGCTATCACATTTTTTAATTTCCAAGAGGTTTTTTTTGGTTCTATGGCTATTCCTTACCATAATAAAATATTGTATATTTTCCACATATGCATTATCTTCTCATATCTCTGATAACATTAATGATATTTTTCTTTTTCCCCTACAGACTTTATTTCCTCTAATTTTTTTTTCTTCTAATTATTTCAGTCTCTGTTTTTCATGTTAGAGACTTCAGCCTGGGGACTCTTGGCTAGAAGTTCATACTGGAGCCTGGGGTTTCAAAGAGTAGATCTAAGGCTCTGTGTTACTAGTAGGGACTTGCCAAATGTTGCCTTCGCTATTAGGAGACTTAGTGGGACCATTCAGGTGGTGAATCTCACATAATTAAGTTTGGGTCTTGTTTTTTGGACTGGTTCCATTTCTCAGAGAAAGTGCTTCTGATCTAGAGCCTTCATGTATGGCTGTGAAAGCTGGGCACTCACAGCTTCATTGGTGTCATTCACATACACTGTGTGTATGCCAGGCTCCCCCAGAGCTGTGCAATTTAGCAACTGTACTCTAAAAATCTGCTGGCTAGACAGCCATTTGGAGTGGAGGAAGAAGGCTGGGGGGTGGA